GAATGTGTTAAAATTTTAAACGAAAAGAATTAGGAAAGAATAACGGGTATTTATGTTATATTTATAGAATGACTTGTAACATTGACACCTGCTCAACATGCTTATTGTTATTGCACAGAAAACCCACCCACTTCTCTATATGATTTCTACTAAAACTAGCGTAAACCAGCAAAAGTGTGCAATAATATTGAAAATGTCTTGTACGGTTAAGCCCCATTCGGCAAACCTCGACAGATTCTACGCATCTAATCTCGGCTGTATGACCATTTCCGACATATTTGAACTACTATTTTAAAGGTTCCGAATGAAAAATGGCTGCCCCCATGGAGATTTCTGTGGAGAGTGTATTATATCAACAAACGTCACGTTTGGCATTGGGTTTGGGGAATTACCAGGGAATTTGATCAAACCAGCAGCCTTGAGACAATATCTCTGCTCATTTAGGTATATACTCTCTACAAAAGACGCAATTTGGGACTTTTTTGTAAAAGCGACACGTTTTCCTGTTTAAAGTAAACCGGCAGCCGCATCGCAAATGTATGGGCGTAGGTACATATCACTTACTGTCATACAGCCGAGATTAGATGTAGGGTAACGGAATCTGTCGAGATTTGCCGAGTGGGTTAAGCTCCAGCCAATCTACTAGAGGAAAAACAATCTGCTTATTAAACGAAAAGAAAAAAGGAAGATTTCCCGCCCATGTAACAAATCCTCTTACTTCAAGAATATGTTACCGAGTTTTTGTTAATTTCATACACACAGAATTAACGTTGGCACCTCTCATAAAACATTTCAAACTTCTATATCATTGTTATAAAGTAACCGACACGAGAGAGTACATAAAACTAAGCTTCAGCTATTTTGAAAAGGCTAATGTAAAATCGAGCTATAATTTTGACTAATCTATAATATTAATACAGAATGTACTTTATTTGATGTTTATTCAATATGTTTGTCTGTTTATGGAGAAGACGTGTATATACTTCTATCTATTTAGTTTCTGTAAATATATATGGCTTTAAATACAAATGGGAAGATTATAGCTTTTTTTCCAAATGAGAGGGTCTGCCAAAGACTTTCAATCAAGGGAAGTAACCTACATGTACATATGAGCAAGTTTACAGACGACAAATATCATTCATACTTAACAGTCTGAAACTGTTAGAATTGTTTGTTGAAAATAATGACATAGCTCAAACTTGAAAATGATTTCTTCTTAAAATAAAAATAAAAATCAGTTGAGCACATTTAGCGTGACTTAAACATACATTATGCAAAAGCTAAATCTGCCTATTTCAGGTCTTTCTTTAGGCCTGAAATGTTATCTAAATTATTAATTAGACATTAATTAACTTATCCAGACCATAATCAACTCTAGATGGCAGCGCTAGCCTGCGATCTTTAGTGGATTGTAAGCCGATTTACTGCATAACTTTCCTTCTCGATTAAACGATTAAATGGATAATCGAGACTATGATGTTTATCGTACTGACTTTAGGTAATGATGACCGAGGCTTATGGGAATTTCAGTCGCTTAGTTCTCGGTTCATAGTCGATCAATTTGAATGAAATTTTCACCAAATTGCCTTTACATTATCTAGTTTTTAACTATTATAGTGAGAACTGACCAACTCGTTACCGAATCTCCCATAATGTATCTTTAAGCCATGAAACATTAGATATAATACGAAACATGCAAATAAATGAAATGAAATGGGTTTAACGTCCTACTGTTCTGCTCCTAACCTGGGCTAATGAAGACGGGCATACGCCATACAGTGTGCTATGGGGGAAATTTTGCCCGGACAGCGGCACTACGGCCTACTCTTATATCGAATTCCAACTGCCAAGGGATCTTTTACGTGCACGCAAATGTGTACACGGGACCAAACATGCAAATAACGACACGTGTCTTTAATAACTTAACACAACATTAAACATACATTATGCAAGAGCTAAATCTGCCTATTGCAAGTCTTTCCTTAGGCCTGAAATGTTATCTCAATTATTCATTAGACATTTATTAACTTATTCAGACCATAATCAACTCTCGATGTCATCGATAGCTAGCTATATTTACTGGATTTGAATATATTTTGTGGTGGATAATCGAGACTTTGTTTTTTTATCGTACCGACCTAAGTAATAATGATCGAGGCTATCCTAAAATTCAAAAGCTAATATCTAGGTTCAGAGTGGAACAATTTGACTGAAATTTTCAGCATATTCTCTTTACGTCATGTAGTGTTTAATTATTGTAGTGAGAACTATCAGCTCGTTATCTTATTTCCCATAATGTCCCTTTAATTATGCACATGAGTATATAACAATAATTTATAGCTTCAATGGCTTAACACACAACAAATTATATACATCAGTAAATAACAATCAGTTAGGCCACGGTAGCTCAAGAAAGCGCTGGCTCACTACCTAGGAGATTCCGTTTTTGCCGAAAAACTTCCTTGGTGTTTTTCGGTGTGGTATCCCTGTCAGTGGATTGAAATAATGGTCACAAAGCAATAAAATTTGAATAATTTCTCTATTTTCCTTTCAAAATAGGTTAACGAAGTGGCAAAATATACACAAAATGGATCAAGAAAAAGAACAAAACCCGATGTCGCCCGAAGATCAAAAGAAAATACAACAGAAATGGGAATTTCTAAAAGACAATCTTAGCGACCACGTCACTTCCATAAGAGATGCGTTATTTGCGAAAATGGTGTTGAACAGAGCCGATAAAACAAAAATAGATAAAGTGATTAAAACAGAGGACCAAGACACCGCGATAGATGAATTACTTAAAATATTAATGCGCTCGCATGATGGATCATTCGAAAAATTTATATGTTGTTTGAAAAAACTTGGCTTTAATCATGTGGTGGCCGAGTTATGCTCAGGTAAGTTTAAAGCAGTGTAATATATGACAAATCTGAGAAAGTTTGTAATTGAAATAGAACCGTATCAAAAGGAGATTCGAGGTAACAATAGCTCACTGTTCAAGAATCTCACGCAAAACTATACCATTCTGGAATGGTTGAAAATGGCATTAATGTTTGTCAAACTTTTGGGCCTTTATAATAAAGGGAGTGGACCCTTTAGATATGCTCTCATAATTAATCCTTTCCTGTGGTAGAGTGCAGATAAATTCAGCCTTTATTAGAGCCAATATTTGGGGCTGTGTGAGGCACCTAAGTTCTGGTCTGATATCGAACACTAGTGAGGAATACTTACATAATAGATGAATCATTCTCGCTTGGGGGCAGAATAATTTACGGAATCAAATGAAAAAAAGAATATTCTGATTATCTTGTAATTACAAGATAACCATTTTATATAACTATATTGTAATAACAAGATACGGAGAAGCCCATTAGGGTCAATCACATGAAAAAGGTGCTCTAACTAGTTTATTTGAAGATCGCCCTACACTGATTTGTGGGATAGCTAGATCAACGAAATACTTTTGTAAGTTACGGGATCGGCACAATCAGGTCATGCTCCCATTAGTATCATTCGTTATTTCATGCCCTCATTAAAAACCATTCATTAAGTTCATACTCTCATTAACTTCATAATCCCACCAACTTCATACTCTCATTGATATCATTTATTAATGATTCATTGATTTCATGCTCTCCTTGAAGCCACAGAACGTCATTTACAGTTTTCAGAAAATTTTGTTAATCCAAGCCAGAATGTACACAAATTGATTATTAAACAATCAAAAATCAAGATCGCAACGATAGATAATTTGCAGTCTTGGATTCAATCGATTAGATAGTGGCGCAACAAACTGATTCAACGAAACGTAAAGATGCCAACGGCTTGTTTAAAAGGAATATAATAAATGATATTATATTAATAAATGATATCGATGCATGTATGAAGTTGTGAGGGAGTATGAAGATAATGAGAGTATGAATTTTTATACGCCCACATTTTCATGTGGACGTATATTGTCGTCGCCTCTGTCCGTCCGTCCGTCCGTCCACAATTGTTTGTGAACAGTCTACAGGTCACAATTTTTATCCGATTTCAATGAAACTTGAAATATAGGTTTATCACCCTAAGATCTCGGTTAGTATCGGACTGTAACTTCATGGATTATGGCACCTGAATGTACGAAAAATCAAGTTTTTAGCTTGTGAACACTGTAGAGGTCACAATTTTTATCCGATTTGGTTTAAACTTGAAATGTATGCTTATAATCCAAAGATCTCGGTTCTTTCCGATATTCACGCATATCGAACCGTAACTTCCTGAATTATGGCCCCTGATTGTACGAAAAATCGCGTTTTTAGCTTGTGGACCCTATAGAGGTCATAATTTTATCCGTTTTAAAAAGCCGTATTATTATATCACCGTTACACCCTAAGGATGGCTGAGTTCGAATTTCGTGTAAATCGGCCCAAAATTGACAGACAAAATGGCCGCCGTTCGTTCTCAAATAGCGTAAAAATATGGTATATCAAGGTTGTGGACCCTATAGAGGTCACAATTTGTATCCGATTTTGTTGAAATTTGAAATGTAAGTTTATAACACAAAGATCCCGGTTTCTTTCGATACTTGCGCATATCGAATTGTAATGTCCTGAATTATGGCCCTTGATTGTAGGAAGAATCACTTTCTTTTTAGCTTGTTCTCTATCCATCTCTCGAAAATGTGGGCGTATCCTGCCTGGCAGCCGCTGGTATGATTTTAACGGAGGTATGAAGTAGTCATGGTGGCTAAGTGAGAAAGATGCTGGCTTGCAAGTCTGGACGTCGTGGGTTCTCTCCAGATGTTGATTGGGATTTTGATGATTAAACGCGCATTGGTGATTAAATGCAAAAATAGATAATCGAGTAAGGCTACACACAAGGGGAACGGAAAGCGAACAGACTGACTGTAAATGTCTTGTTTTATTTTCGTATTCAATTTCACGTTCACGAACTTTTTTTATATATATATATATATATATATATATATATATATATATGTATTATGATTTTTCCAGAATGCAATCAAGAAGAAGACATAGTAGTAACAGGTGAAGGTAAGTATAACATATTACACCTGATGGTATGAGAAGCGACATATATTTTACATATTGTTACACAAACCCTTTCACTTACTATGGAAGACCAAACAGCTCTTTATTCAGTGTTCTTACTTCATAGTCCTTAACTATGAACGCGAATGTGTCGCTTACCAGGTCACCTGTCAATAAAAGTCTAGTGGATTTTAAACACACTCTGTCTGCCCCTCTCTGACATGTATTGTACAATGTCCACACTGCAGCTACAAGAAAACTAACACTGTTTTGTCTTCTTAAGATCTAATATTTTTTAATTTCAGAACGAGAAGTGCGAGTTGTAGTTATTGGTAAAACTGGGGCAGGAAAGAGTGCCTTAGGAAACAGTTTGCTCAATCTAAAGGGGGGTGACATATTTCCATCGAAATTTAGTGCATGTTCCGTTACAAAAAACATTGAGCTAAAACAAAAGGCTGTGCATTCTGAGGATGGAAATATCATTCTGAAGCTATTGGATACTCCTGGGTTATCAGACACTACCAAAGACAACAAAGAAACGGCTAAAGAACTGGTCAAATGTATCGAAGGGTTAGAGCCAGGTCCACACGTCTTTGCTGTCGTCTTCAAATTGGATAGAATTTGCGGGGATATAATTGACAATATACAGTTTCTGAAAGACACCTTTGGAAGTTGCCTTGAAAAGTACGGAATCATAGTTTTGACGGGTCAAGACAATTTGGATAAGAACGAATCGTTTGAAACGTGGTTAGAATCAGCCAATGGTGAATTCCGGCATTTTCTTGATGTTTATTGCAATGGTCGATATGTTTTGATAAATAACGAAGAGAAGGAACCCAAGATAAAACAATCGCAGGTGAGGCATGTGATAAACCTCATTTTAAAAACCATCAAAATCAACAATTGGGATTATTATAGAAATGAGATGTACGAAGAGGCTAAATCAATGTATGAATATAAAATAAAACAGATAGAGGAAGAAAAATCGAGGATTGAAAGGCTACTAAGGGAAGAATTGGAAGCAAAAAATAAAGAGATAGGCCATTTGAAAACGGTGGAGAACGAACACGAGGAGCAACAAAATCAAGCCATTAAAAACTTGCAGCAGGAGATCCAACGGTTAAAACAGCTTGAAAATGAGAATAAAGGCACCCTTAAGAGACTGGACGAGCTGGAAAGAGAAAACGATGAGTTGAAACAACAGAAACGGGCCTTTGAAAGTTTACAACAATTAAACAAAGAGCTTACCACAGAACTCAATCAAATTAAAAGGGAAGATGAAGAGAAGCTGAAGAGATTGGACGGGTTACAGAGGGAAAACGATGTTTTGAAACGGGCTCGTTATGAAGTAGAGCAGTTAGAACTACAGAATGTATCAGTGGGAACTGTTATGAATACACAACAGGGTACTAATACATATTTAAAAGGAATGGCAGTCAATTATTATTCGCATAAGGAATCCCCCGAAACGATGATGCAACGAACACGACACATGGTTTCAGAACAATTAAAAGACACGGGTTTGGCAACTACTGAGTCAGATCTACAATCCAACAACACTGAACAAACTGAGAACCGTAAGTAAATTTTAGAGGGTTTTGCCTATTTAATAGTCATAGTTATCAATCCAAAGAGTTCCAAATGCTTAGACCGACATTCAAATACAAATCCGCGAACGGTGAATCCCGATATTCTTGACAAGTAGGGTCCATTTAGTCATAAAGGGAATCAATCAATAATTGTCTGTTAAATTGTTCATGTGCACTTTACGGTTCTTGTGTTGATTTTTTTTTTTACTTCAATGGGCAGGAATTGTTTAATTCCAGTCGTTGATTTCGGTGTCATTCCCCAATTTGCCGATAATTAGTTTTTTTTCAAAAGGGTATTATGTAGAATTTCAAATTTTTTGGATTGAAAATTTCTATCGTATTTTGCGGGATTAACCGTTCGATTGTATTTTGGGACGTGTTACGGTATAAACGTCTTCGCGACATATTTTAAACTTCCAATTGTGCAAAGGTGAGAATCCTATCCTGATTCCGAATGATGAATTCTTGTTAACGTTAACTTGCCATTTTGCACAGGCGTACGGGCTGGGGGGGGGGGGGTGCAGATCAGCTGAAGTTGCTATATTCAGAGACTGAAATAGCAGAAAACGCGTTTGCTTCAGTTAAATTTCCAAAATTTTCTCCCGACGGCCCCGACTCTGTGCACTGTAAACGATTGATTGGTTGATTGGAATTCGAGTCAGCCATCTTAATTAGGCTATATTAGATCACTTTGAGTTTGCTGTATTCAGGGGCTGGAATAGCAGGAAATCGCTTTTGCGGCCATTAAATTTTCCATAATATTCTTGGAGGTCCCTACACGGTGAGCTCCGCTCCTCCGCTTTTGCAGAAGAACGGCGCCGCCGTCTGTAACCCGAAATTTTTTCAGGCATTTCGGGTTCTGCCCCCACTCCCAATTGTCATCGAGCCCGAACACCTATGCGAATTTGTGACAATGTCCCTCATAGTACACTTTATGGCGCATGCCCATCTTTACTAATCGGGATTGTGCACCAAACCCGATTCTATTTCCTATCAAATTTAAAAATGTTAGGATCGTTAATTTTATCGCAATTGCGGAGTTATTTCTCCGGTCATAGTTATCCCCCTTTAGGTTTAGATTCGTGTAATCTCGTGAAAGACAAAACTCTAGACTTCCGGGGATTGTTCATTGGTGATATGTCCGTTAAGAATATATTTTGACAAGATGTTGTTCGAGACCCCATATTTTCAAAACCAGGCCATATAATTAAAGCTTTCATGGATCTTTTTTCAGAAATGGTAAATACTTTACCTTCGACAATACCAAATATTAACAGAATGACTGAAGATATGGCTAAACTCGAAGCTAACCAGGAGCTTGTTGATTTATCTGAATCACTACATACCAGCTGTATGTATGGCACTTTACAAAATGTAAAAGAGTTGATAGACAGTGGCAAAGACGTTAATGGACGAGACAGAAGAAATATGACCCCTTTAATGTATTGCGCAAGATCAGTTATACATCCAGTGCCTAAAATTAAATTATTGATGTCTTACAATGAGTCTGAAATTAATCATAAAGATGGAAACAGTGACAGCATATTGCACCACGCATGTCGTGAGGGTACATTAGACACTGTCCAATATTTGGTACAAAATATTGGTATGGATGTAAATATTATAAATTTAAAGGGACGAACACCCCTTTTCGACTGCTGTCAATCCAAAATAGATGCCATTGCGAAGATTGAATTATTAGTAGCTGAAGGTGCTAATATTTTGGACCCCAGATTAAACGAAGGGCTGTCATGTTGCTGTACTTAGGAGTGATTTGGTTGAACGGGAAGAATAAACACACTCCCTCAAAAGCTCAAGTATCATAAGTCAATCCAGCAATGGACAGAGAGGGATTTCTCGGGCCATTTCTTCAGGAATATGTATTCCTTCATGTGTAATAGAGGGTTCTTGGTTTATTTTTGTTTTAAGTATTCTGACTATGTCGTTACTTTTCATATTTATTGTGATTTTTCGAGATGCAGAGGACAGTATGTTAGTTCAGTATAAGGACAAAAACAAATCCATAAGGTGAAGTAGCTAAGGGGGTAGTCTTTTGTGGGGTCAGAATCGGTAGGTCTTTAATAAATGATGCTCACTAGACGACATGAAACAAAAATGATCCACGGCTATTTTCACAGAATCAAATGAATTCTAAGATATCATTTGTATACGATCACATTATTATGTGGACGTATTATTCCGCTGTCCCTTTCCTTTTGTATGTCTGTTCACATTTGTTTGTGGACAATATAGAGGTACTAATTTTATATTTTTATCTCTGGTGGGTTCGTACTTCTTTGAGTGGCATTAAGTAATTGAACAGTAACACACTAACACTATTTATGGAATAAGCAAATTTGCTTAATAAAGATGAAAGTATCATCTTGGAAACGTTGCATATTAATAAACCAGTTATTGTTATTCCATCAATAGTGTTAGTGTGCTAAGTTTGTCATCATCGCTTTGATCAGTGCTTGTTATATATAATGTCTATATTTATGGCTTCTTTTTACTGTATATAAATACTAGGTGTTTTACATATATGTTATCATTTGCTCGAAACGTTGCATGAATCAATTCAGTTGATTGTCTGAAAACGTATTCCATCCTAAAATCGCCGTGTTACACAGAAGGGGCAGACTGGGTGATTGAAAGTATTGTATAGGGGTTCGCCATGAAAGCGATTCAAATATCCAGCTAAATATTTCTTACTGGTAGCCATTAAAAAACAAAAAAACACTTTTATAATGTCACGAATAAATATATTGTAAATTAAATCACAGCTTTTATTTCTTTATAAATATAAAACATTTATGTAAATCTGTACATTTAACGAATATAAAAATATCTTCAAGTCCAAGTGACTTGCTTGTATTAAAAAAAATCTTGAATCGATTAGATTATTTAAACATTTTCTAATTCTTCTTAAAGGCACCAAATATCAGTCCGAACGCCTCACAACACGGATCGCAACAACAATGGACACACAGGGCCCAGAATTTCTGTAAACATCCACAATTAATCTCCAGCACTTTGAAAAGCGGAGTGACGATCCACACGTGGGTAAAGGCTATTCTAGCAAATTCACATCCCCATTCAGCAGCAATACACATACCACAACACAAGGTGGCGAGTTTATAGAAGAAATTTTTCCATATATTGAAACAGAAGAAGGAGGCTTTCCATACACAATCTATACTGTGAGCACCTTCAGGTTCAGCTAAAACATCTTCAAATTGAACCTGGAACACAAAATAAATAACAGTGAATCTGAAACGTCAGGTAGATGTAAATGATGTTATGTTTAGATAGTATTGATGGATTAAATAGACTATCACTTATAATCCATAAAACATTTGGGCCCTGTTTCTCAAAATCTTAACTAAAGATAAAATCCAAATTTTAGTAGATACTTGCAATTGCATTTTACCACAAGATGAAAGGGACTCCACTTCAAGAGAGAGAGAGCGAAATGAGGTTTAACGTCCACTCGACACAAGCTAGGTCATTTCGGGACTAATATATGGTTCAATTTTAGTTCGATAATTCGCTTGCGCGTAGGGGTCTTTAGCAGTGGGAGGAAACCGTGGGACTCGGAGAAAGCCCACCGGGTTGGACAAGCGACCCTACTCTTTGTCACGTACAACCGGGGGATCGAAACCACGCCAGTTGACTCAATGACAAACCTTATGATGAAGCGCGCACGCCCTAACCATTCGGTCATCCCGCCCCCGACTCCACTTCAAAATTTAGTTGATGGGTGTTTATAGACCAGAGAAGGGAGATAACAACGGTTCCTCAAAATATTTCGCCATATTTTTATGCATTCTAAAGTATTTCAATCTGTACGAAACGAAACGAAACTTACCCCGATAAAATCGTTGATGTTATTAGGATCTCTGTTAATCATATCTAGATCAGCCATTTTGATTTCAGATCGGTAGTTGTTGATGGTGGTAAATGAAACTCAAGTAATGTTGATGATGTTATGGTAATAATAATCATACAATATATACCCTATATTTGTTTAAATCACGTGACAGATACGTTTCCCTAACAACCATAGTGTTATTTGATAAAACCCACTATTAGCAGATAATAATAAATATAAAAGGCAACCTTAAGTTACCATAGATTAATGAATTGGTTGCGATCACGTGACAGAAACATTTGCCTAACAAACAAACGTTTATTTAGTTCAATCCATATTTATTATAATGCATAAATCTCCCTAAAATCGTCCTAGATTAATGAATTAATGAATTCGTTTCAATCACGTGACCTGGATTATTGAATGAAACAGTTGATTTTAATCTAATCAATTAATCTATGTTAATTATTAATTCATTTCATAAATCTCGGACAGTTGATTTCAATTATTGTCCATAAAGACAACTGTTCATTATCTGTATATTGTATCGGTATCGAAGGAGTTACGTCCCCTTGATTAACATCAAAATATATGATTGGCTTGGTGCCATGAAATATCGATTAGTGATGGGGTAAGTTCTATACAATTATATTTTTGTCACTAGTTTTCTTTTAAACTAACTTTTAACCATATGAAACTTATTGGACGAACATTTTTTAATATTTAAATAATCCAAGGGTCCAGTTGTGTGGTTCTTACCGTGAGCACTTTAGTTTTCCACATAAAGCAAACGGATTCATTTTCACTGCGGTTTTTTTCTATCGGCACTGATATTCAGCTGGACCTACTGTTTTAACCTGTTTTTTTTTATGACCTGCCTTCTTTTCTCACGACAGCGATTTTATAAGTGTGTTTTAAAGTGACTTTTTGATATACAAGGACTCTTTTATTTTTACCAATTTTAAGGTGACTTGATATACACGGATTTTTTCATTTTGTGTTTTTACCAATTTTCAACCCATTAAATAACTTAATTAAATCAACCTGTCCATAATATCATATTTTTAAAAAAATTGAAAGTTAAATTTGTAATAAACAATAACAACGTTGATCGTTTTAGTTTAATATTTTACATACATGTACATTATGAAGATTGTATTTGAGTGGATGATGAAAGAACGTGTACCGTAAATCTGTAGGAACCACGGTAGCTAAGACGCTGGCTTGCTAGTCTGGAGGTCGGTAGCTACGAGAACGAAGCTAAAAAACGTTGAGATATACTGATGTGCTTGTTTTTAGCTACAATTTGGTGCTTTTAGTTTCACCTGGCAAACTCAGTTTCTTTATTAATGCATGTAACATCTTTAAAAAATAAGATAATTTTATACTATTATGACTAATTAAACTGACAGAGGCCAATGTAGTGGCACAACTATCGCCTATCTCCAAATATTCGCGTTTAAATTAATGAAGCGTTGTTTTTGTCCGACATACACTGTCATACATCTCCCGTTGAAAAATGACGTTCCTAGTTACGTCTTAACGCACCGATTTTTAATACGATAATTTATACTCGTTTCAGGTAGGATTATATGTTTAATTGTAGTTGGATGTGGCAGAAATATTGTAAATAACAATATTCAATCGTCGTTTTGATGAAAAATATTGTCAATTTTGCTTACTGAGACCCGATGTGATTTGCGTTGGGCTTTGCTACGTGGCAATATATACCACCATCTCTTATCTCGAAACACGGAGGGTTGAGAGATGAGGTTTGTTATCTAGGAGGTCGGGTGTTCGATCCCTGCATTGGCCGAGAAAGTTCATCGGGATTTCCCGACGTGGCCTGACAAGGACAGCTGTCTAGTCGTTCGGATAGGACAAAAAACGAGGTCCCGTGTAATCATCGGCATGCACGTAAAAGATCCCTTGGCTGCCTCTGTCCGGACAAAATGTCCCTCATAGCACACTGTATGGCGTATGTCCGTCTTCATTAGTCCAGTCGGAGCAGAACAGTAAGACGTTAAACCCATTTTCTTTTCATTTGTAAATCTGTAAGTGTCAACTAGGAAATAATTGATACCATTACGTAGGTCTACCAAAGTATATTGCAACCTGTAACAAACAAGCGAAATTCGGTTTCATAAACAATTTTAAACATAGGCGGGGGCCCATCGGTCAATTTGTAGCTGTAAAACTAGCATATTCTTCAAAGCCCCATTTTCTAATATAATATTCAAAAAAAGTAGGGGATATTTGATTTTGGGGGCATAATACTAAAATATGCAAATGACTACGAAAAAAGTCACTATAGAACCTAACAGAAGAAACATTTCCAGTTACATGTGACGCCCAAACGCACCAATAGCTACCGCATGGAATGCAGGTGATGCTTGGGATCATCATGGGGGTCCAACCCAAGATTTGCACGACTCTGACTTTGAATGTTACAGTCATTGTGGCATTGAATTCCAGGGTGGAAACATCAGTTTAATTGTTTTAGTGACCAGAAAACAAATTTTGATATGCGTCGGCTTACCCAAAATGAAAGGTTACGTGCCCTTGGCATGCTACAGATCGGCACAACACAGGCGGTTGTGGCGCGGACGATGAATGTTTCTCAGTCTGTCATAAGCAGGCTATGGTCCAGATACCGTGATACACAATCTGTACAGGACAGACCACGCTCAGGTCGACAACTCAAGCCCAGGATCGATTTATCCGTACCTTGGCCTTGAGAAATCGTGTCATCACAGCAAATCAGATCAGCGCTCGTCTTTAAACAGACACTGGTGTGAGAGTGAGTGGCCAGACGATTCGGAATCGACTGCATAGGGGTCACCTTCGCGCCCGACGTCCTCGCGTGATCCCTTGTTTGAGAGATCATCACATTCAGGCAAGACGTCGTTGGTGTAGGGATCGTCAACACTGGGATAATCGACGCTGGAGCAATGTGATGTTTTCAGATGAGTCAAGGTTCACTGTTGATTTTTTGGACAGACGTAGGAGGGTGTGGCGTCGTCGAAACGAGCGCTTCCAAGACGTTAACGTCATCAGACATGATCGATTTGGGGGTGGTTCTGTTATGGTGTGGGGAGGCATCACTGTTGCTGGAAGAACGGCTTTACATGTTGTTGCAGGGCGTGTTACAGGCCAGTACTACCGGGACAACATCTTGGCAGTCCATGTTGTGCCCTTCGCACGACGTCATGGCCGCCGTTTCATCTTCCAGGATGACAACGCAAGATGTCACAGGGCCAGGATCGTTACAGGTTACCTCCAACAACAGAACATCACCACATTACCTTGGCCAGCACTGAGTCCCGACCTCTCCCCCATCGAGCATGTCTGGGACATGCTTGGACAGAGGTTACGTCAACGTCAACAACGTCCTGCCAATGTCCAAGAACTTGCTGCTGCGTTGCAACAGGAATGGGACAATCTGGACCAAAATGACCTAAGACGTCTCATTAGGAGTATGCCACGTCGGATCAATGCTTGTTTGGCAAACAGAGGAGGATTTACCCGTTACTGACTTGGTTGTGATGCTGTGGTAACTTTGCTGTTTGACCCCGGGTATCATTTTACCCTTATAATGGTCAGTCTGTGCCTTACTTAGTCTAACGATCATTTGGAATAAATCGATGAATGTGAACTTCATTTCATTTTGTCATTTGTTTCTTCGTCAGTTTCATTAGGTGACTTTAATAACACTTAAAAATCAAATATCCCCTACTTTTTTTGAATAGTATATAATGTCATCAGTGCTAAATCAAAAAGCAATGGAACTAGATACCACTGAGCAAGTTATAAATAACCGAACTAAGTTTTTAAAGCATTCCCAGGGGTATATGGATCCAGAATTGCGTTCACAAACCTTAAAAGAAAAAATTATAAAGGGAAAGATAACTCCTCAAAACGTCGGGATAACTCTGTTAGATTTTTATTTATTCTAATTACATTATTTCCCACGTACAATCGGGGAATTGAAACCACGCCAGACCTTTGAAACAGCGCGCACGCGCTAACCATTCGGCCATGCACCCCCGCCCCTGGCCTGCGCGTAAAACAAACATTGACAATTGGAATTCGAAATAAGGTCAGGCCCTAGTGTCATCGTCTGGGCAAATTGTTCTATAGTACATCGTAGGCCAGTCGGAGCAGAACAGCTGGACGTTAAACACCATTCATTTCATTTCAGAATCTTGAAAAGCGAAAATGTCAACATAAAGAAACATCTGCAAAATACGCTTCGAAAAGTTACAATCTGGTGTTTGATAGGGTTCTTCACTATACACGAGTCGGTCCGCTTAACAATTCCACCGAGGTTTAACATGCTTTGTTCTGCATCTGGTTCGAAAACTTCGAAAGTCATAATATGGCCGGAAAGATAACTAGTCAAGGATTTAGAGAGTATTCCCGTAATTCACCCTTACAGGTAGAGAGAGAGAGAGAGAGGGGGGCGGGGGTAACGTCCACTCGACACAAACTAGCCTCGTATCGTTATTAATGTTTTCCTAAAGTACTAAAAATGTTTCGACAAGTATTCCCGTATCGTTATTAATGTTCACCTCAATTACTAAATGTTTCGACAAGGTGTCACTTAAAGATGAAATAAACTATAACACATACTTATGGAAAAACAGCTACTGCATTATTTTCTAGTTTTGTCTTATATCTTGCTTTAAATTTTGTTATATTGTATAAGCTTGATAACGTTGAGAGAATACTCTTCGAAATGTCGCCTAAATCAGTAGCTGTTTTTTTTCATAAGTTTGTGTTATAGTTTATTTATATACGATAAGTGTGATAATTATAAATGTCGCATGTTGTAGCCGTGCAACATTTATTGACCGCATTCTCTAAACTGACATCTTTTGTCTTATGATCTTGTGAAGTGTTGCTCTATCTGTATTGTTCGTGGTTCCCACTTGTTAGTGATGCAGGACGGAGGGTCTGACAAGGACAGCCGTCTAGTCATTCGGATGGGACGAAAAACCGATGTCCCGTGTACACATTGGCGTGCACGTAAAAGATCCCTTGACAGTTGGAATTTGATATAAGAGTACGCCATAGTGCCGCTTTCCGGACAAAATTTCCCTCATAGCACACTGTATGGCGTATGTCCGTCTTCTTTAGCCCAGTTCGGAGCAGACTAGTAGGACGTTAAACCCCATTTCATTTCATTTCACTGTATTGCTGCTTATTACTCATTTGGGGGTTGAGGTTGCCGAATGGTTTAACACGTATGCTTTAGATCATAAGGTCTGTCATTGTTTCGATTCCCAGCTCGTACGTAGGTTCGCCTCTCCAGTCTCATGGGTTTTCTCCGGGTCCTCCGGTTTGGCCCCACTGCTTAAGCGAATTATTGAAATAAAATTGAACCATATGTCAATCGGCGTTGTTTCGATTCCCAGAAGGAATAGGGTCGCCTCTCCAGCCTCATGGGTTTTCTCCGGGTCCTCCGGTCTGGTCCCACGGCTTTTAAAAGCGAATTATTGAAATAAAATTGAACCACATGTTAGTCCTGAAATGTCCTAGTTTGTGTCGATTGGACGTTAGGCCCAAGTCAATTCTTCTTGTCGGGCTTAACTTCGGCTTCCAGCTAAAGTCATATCGCAGACAGATATTTCGTAGGTGAAAGGCTCGTCTAGTGTAGGTTGGAGATAGTTGAAAGATTCAGAAATTTAAGCTCTTCAATTTCCTTAATTAAAGCCGCAATCGCCCATTTTGTGATACCGTGTGTCCATTGAAGGTGTTCACAGTCAATAGCATTTAACGACATAAGACGAGATCCATGTGGTCCCATATCTAGAAACCTGAGAACGGGCCAGTTCCTCAGTAGCAGTTGTTGTTCTTAATGTCTAACGTCCGCTTCCATCGAGTGTGATATCGCAGACAAGTTTATTGTCTTAGCGCACGGGCAGGGGTCTTTGTTGTGGGAGGAAACTGGAGTAAACCCACGAGGTTGAGAAGGCGCCCCTATCTCCATGCCACATACGCTCACACCAAGGATCGAAACCACAACCGCAAGTCAGAGGTGACCGACCAGCGGGAGTTCGAAGCGTGACACTCTAGACCACTAGGCCATCCTAAAACCCCTCCTCAGTAGCAGACTACCATCTTGTATAATTTCTGGGGCCTGTTTCACGAAATTCTAACTAAGATAAAATCCAAATTTTAATAATTTGATTGGTAGGGTGACCCACCATAAATAAATATCTCCAAATATCTCGACAATTACGCCACAATATTTATATATATACCAAGCCTCAAATCAGTTTCACACAATTATAGTCACTAAATAAACGATCATGTTGTACTTAATTAGCTATGACCATTAATCATCTATAAATAATAGATTGAAAACTGGTTCCAAATGTCGTCCATAACATCCAGACACTTTTGAGTAAAAGATAGGTTACGTGCCCTTGTTTTGAAATTAGTCTCGCTTAACCAGTCTATCGACCATTCTACGTCTGATTGACAGGTCGGGATAATCAAGACTACTTTTTTACGAAACATAACAGAAAGCTAGAACAAGAAATTGAATTTAGAAATAAGCACTTTAGACAACTCAACAATTGTTTTAAGAAACTTGTAAAAGTAAAATGAAACTACTGCTAGTATCATGTTCCTGCTAACGAAAGTGATTCAGAGATATTATTTGTACTAAACCAAAAGATGCCGCTCTTAACGGTACAGTTAATGATAAATCAATTTAAAAAATAAAACAAACGTAATTTCTAAAGCTGCTGTAATAACCAAGAAGTTAAATTTTACTGCTATTCAAAATCGTCAACAATAGATTTTTTACGGCTGTAATAGTTGATGTATTTGTAGAGAATTGCACGTGCCATGGCTATTTATCGACTCAAAGAGAGTGCGGGGTAGTCAGAAATCAGTTCGAGACACGCAACTGAAGCGTGCACATTTAGCCGTGTCGAGACCAACTTTCTGTAGAGTGCACGGGTCATCCTATGATTGGATAATATTAGATTAATTTTAGTTCTTAGCCAATCAAAATTGAAGTATCTACTAAAATTTGGATTTCGAGAAACGGGCTAGTCAATTTATCAGAAGAAGCCGATCGTAGCTAGAGGCCATTTTCTCAATTTGTCAAGTGTTCAAAAAAGATAGGAGTTATTTTATTACAATAAATGACAACGATTAATGGGGGTTGAGTGGCTTATTTTCTTATCGGTCGAATGTTAAATAATTAATTGGCCTTATACGATTTAGGTACCGTACGTCTAATTGGTGTTGAAAAGGGTGTTGGTTTGGGGATTTCGTATTTTTCATTGGTGTTGAAAGGATTAATATAACTTATTTATAGAGTCTTATAGATTAAGCAGTATATTTTAATAACTGTAAAACCCGCTGCATTGAAGTCGAGTAACAGGTGCCCGTCACAATTAAAGTGAGGCTGCTATTACGTAACGCAACATTTTGTAGGTCAGTGGACATTTAAACCCCATTGTGACTGAGAGGGGGACAGAGAAAGGCGGTTACTCAACTGAATCAGAACAAACGTGAACACTACAAGAGAAAGACGTGGAGGGTGAGAACGAAACTCAAAAGATCTCGGATTATTATAGAACGACTTGTTTAATATTTTGGTATGTAGTACATGTTTTTATTCTAATGCTTTAGTATATTGAAATATGAAATGAAATGAAATGAAATGGGGTTTAACGTCCTACTGTTTTGCTCCGAACTGGGCTAATGAAGACGGGCATACGCCATACAGTGTGCTATGAGGGAAATTTTGCCCGGACAGCGGCACTACGGCCTACTCTTATATCGAATTCCAACTGTCAAGGGATCTTTTACGTGCACGCCAATGTGTACACGGGACCTCGGTTTTTCGTCTCATCCGAATGATTAGACAGCTGTCCTTGTCAGGCCCTCCGTCCTGCATCCCTGACAAGGGGGAACCACGCCGGAAAATCGGGATGAACTTTCTCGGTCAATGCAGGGATCGAACACCCGACCTCCAGGCTAGCGAGCCAGCGCCTTACCCACTAAGCCATTGTGATCCCCATATTGAAATATAGGATACATGGGTTACCATATGTGGGATTATTATAAAACGACTTGTATAATATTTTGTTACTACGTAGGTCATGTTTTCGGGGGGGGGGGGTCTTCTTTTTTTGGGGTTTTTTTTTTGTATTTAAGTTTAATTGGTAGGCCTACACTGAATATGTTGTCTGTATATGACGCTATAGTCCTCATATTTAGAGTACTTGGGTATTAATCAGGTTTTACATGTCATTTCGGTCCCGCGTCATTTCGAACTTACGACATTTCAAACTCAGAAACATATGGCCTCGACGTTTCGGACTCGAGCAGGTGACATTTCGGACTCGGGTAGGTGACGTTTCGGACTCGGGTAGGTGACGTTTCGGACTCGGGAATAAGTTGAAAGAAAAGGTTGAACACAACTGTCAAATCAATCTATAATAAACCAAAAGCGATTTTATAAAAAAAAATAACATGCAGGCAAAATGTACCGCTCGCAATCAAATACAGCACGTTGAATCGCGGATCACGCTACGTATAAATCTCTCAAGGAACTGCAAAATTTTCAATGTTGAATGATTATCTGTAATCTATCTATACTAATATTTGTGACAGTCGTTTGTCTGTCTGTTTGTCTGTCTGTTCGGGGTTGGCGGCTACACTAGGTCTGCCCCGAGTCTGAAATTCGGGGTATACGGGTAGCTGGGACCGGGGAGTAACATAGGCCAGGTGGCGTTAGTCTACCACTTCCGGTTTCGGGGTTATGACCCCCGAGCGAAGCCGGGCATTCTTCTAGTATGTATATAAAAAGTAGCTGGTGAATTGATTAGAAATAGGCCAATTCAAAACACGAAAGAAAATATTAACATGAAACACGTGGTTATTAAAGGCTCAATACCACTCTTGTTGTAACTGAATAATATGTCCCAATCTTTATTCTGGTCAACAAATTGTACTAGTTTACAATATTTCAATTAATTGATGATACAAATTTCATCTTAACACACCTTATTTAAAAAATTGGAAAAATTCAACTTAATGGTTTGAAACGTGTAACGTTAACTATTCAAATATAACTTCAATTTAAAAATATTTTCGAACCCTCTGGACAAGTAAAAAGGGGGTGTAATGGATAATTTGCACAACAGATAGGACACTAAAACATCTAGTAATTAGATAAGGATATTATTTATTTTCTGGAGCTGTCAAGCCAGCAAGAGTGGTATTGTTCCTTTAAAAGACTTTACCAAACGATAAAACATAGTTCCACTTACGATTCTTTATCATCGTTTCCTGTAAAAGTAATTTATTTTTTTAAATATGAATAATATGCTGTAGAATTTATTTCAAAATGACCTACACAAAAAACAAAAGTAAATATAATTTACTCGACATGCACTGTTATTACAAACCCCTATAATTTTTTAATGATAATCCGTAAGATAATCCGTAAGCTACACGTCGACATGCATTCCTTGACAAACTTGCCATAGATAGCAGTACCAATCGATGAATTAGTGCGTACAAAGAAAACTCTTTTTGGAATATATTAGAAATGACAACTATCAAAGTGGGATAAATAAAGCTGATTAACCGATAATCCCTATGTTATTGTAGTATGTGCAAAGAAACCTAACAGTTCTTTAGTGGACGAGGAAAAACGTGAGTTGTCAATCAACGTTAATGGCGACCGTGTGTTGATTCGATTATTCCGACGCGCGTAGGCTTTCACAATTATAAAAACAATAGCAGTATTACTAATACTGTGTTAAAGCGTGGATCAAGTCGTGGTGAATTTAATATGATTTTAACACCATGAAAATGACTTCATGCTAATCTTCATTAGCAGTCGTGGTTTTAAACCAGTTCAATGCGCCGGGACTTTCGGAAGGAATGATAAACTCTTAATGACTTATGGGCATATAACCGTCAGACATTGTGGTCAACACGGCCATGGCTAAACAATATATTTTAATATTTTCTCATCAAAAAGATATGTTTGTCCAAACAACATAAAACCAGTAATAATACAAATTTTAGACCATGTATAATTTTTTCCTTGGGGTTTATGAGAGTAGATTTTATCATGACATTTAAGAAATGAAATGGGGTTTAACGTCCTACTGTTCTGCTTCTAAACTGGGCTAATGAAGACGGGCATACGCCATACAGTGTGCTATGGGGAAAATTTTACGGCCTACTTTTATATCGAATTCCAACTGCCAAGGGATCTTTTACGTGCACGCCAATATGTACACGGGACCTCGGTTTTTCGTCCCATCCGAACGACTGGACAGCTGTCCTTGTCAGGCCCTCCGTCTTGCATTACTGACAAGGGGAAACCACGCCGGAAAATCTGGATGAACTTTCTCGGCCAATGCAGGGATCGAACACCCGACCGCCAGACTAGCGAGCCAGCGTCTTACCCACTTAGCCACATTTAAGGCATGTATCATATATCATATTTATTGGAATTATCATTACCGGTAAATACAGTTTAAGTAATAATATTGATACTGCACGAGGCGTTACCGAGTGTTTCAATATATTACGCAATGCCTTTAGCTTGAGACCATTAAACAACTTAAATACATAATCTTTAAGTGGCATTTAGTGATTGGGAAATAATCATAAAAATTGTGTTCTGTTATTGGTAACTTAAAATACAGACACTAGCCCACACGTGCTTTTCAATAAAATACGTCACGCGAGTCCAATATTTCATCTAGTATAGACAATGTACGATTCGCAAGTTGCCCGTACATTATTGGAAATAATGGTACGCCAACATCAACGGATGACGTCACATCTGTATTTTAAATTTATATACAACTCAGTCTTCACCCAGCTAATTCAATTTCTTTGTTATTAATCCATAACGAGTAATGAAGTGTTTAGCGATCTATTTAACAATAGGTTATATATATATATATATATATATATATATATATGTAAAGACAAATCAACTCTTAGCCAGTTAATTAAATGTTATCAAAAAATCATTGGGGAGTGAATGACCCCTTTCATACAAAAAGCCCGGGGTGAAACGGCCCGCTTATATAATAATATTTGTTATTAATTATCAATACAATGATATTTATACAACATTAAAATGTCATGTTAGATAACTTTGGTGAATTGAAAATGACACCATTCAATATCAGGTATAACTTTCGCAAATGCCCGACATGTTGCTGCACTAATCCCATTAATTCAACGTTCTGGAGGCAGACCACCATCTTGCCGGTAGTCACAAATTGTAGTTCGTCTATTTATAGCAATTCGCTCTGCGTTTCTTTTGTCCCCTTTTGCCTGCCCATTTTTGTTAATGTTTTGGTCTAGAATGGACGAAGAGGGTTTGAATTAACATTTTCTGCCAGGTTTTGGTAAATATTCATGATTTAGAGGCGGAAGGATAACAGCGTAATCAGGTTGGTTACGGTGATATGTACTGCAACTAGTTACATGTTTTTAGTATGCTTCTTCAAGTTTGTGTATCTCAAAATTTTGGTGGTCAACCTCATACAAATTTCAGTGCAAAGACATGGCCATTTGTTCCTCTGTCTGTAGTGGGGAAAAGTTGGTGCCGGGCAAAGAGGCCAGAATTAACATTGAAGTCAATGGCGAAAATAATGGTGGTCTGCACCCTTCTCAGTACTGATGAAATCCAGTTATCTTCCCCTGGACGTTATATCTTCCTATTTCGCCAGCAATGACCGTTCAATGTGAACTAATATAAGATAAAACTGTTTGATCGTGCTTAATCCAGCCAGGGAAGAACAATAGAACGTTAAAATCACATTTCTAAGCCTTTTAAGATTACACAATTGCTGGTCATTTGGAATTATTGGAGTCTTTCAGTAATCCTATGTAACGGATTGCTACTAGAAGTCTAGCCTAATTTAATAATAGACACTCAATGACTTTACTCAAATAGTCTTGGTACCCACAGAGAGTGGGGTCTGGCGCGCAATGTATGTATATCGGTTAGTGATGACGTGCCATGTAACTACATATAATTCATTGGGCTACGTTTGGCGCAATATAGCCCAGTGACTGCTGATGTGCCATTTCACATCATGACAGGTCATTGATTGGGTGAGGTTTGGCCCAATGGAGACCCGTCAGGGATGACGTGGCATCAAACACCATGTTATTCAATTGGAGAATCACGAATATGAATCCTGGTGTGAGCTTGAGGAAGATTTGAGATGTTTGAAGGCCGATGCGGGGGGGGGGGGGGGACTGGAAGCATGTCATTGATTGGGCGAGGTCTGGCACAAGGATACTCAATTCCGACTAGAACATCACGAGTTTGAATCCTGGCGTGAGCTTGAAGGCCGATTGTGTAGAGCTAATTGAACTAGTATAAATTTATTTCAAATACCAACATGGCTATATTCAGGTCGCGAAATTAATGTCGATTCGGACTATTATAAAAACTGATATTTCAGTGTTGGAACCGCAGCAAGGCAGATTAAAGGGGGCTAGGATATGAGGGAAAAAAATATAATGTCGGCGCTTTTTGCATTAAACATACATTATGCAAGAGCTAATCTGCCTATAGCAGGTCTTTCTTTAGACCTGAAATGTTATATAAGCTATTAATTAGACATTTATTAACAAAACAAGATCATAATCAACTCTCGATGGCATCGGATACTCTAGACTTTAACAAGATTAGAACTTTTCGCCATTTCAAAATCTAATTTAAAAATGGGAAAGCGAGGCTAAGTCTCGAATATACCAGTGTGCTGGTTATCACAATGAACACATCTTGTCAAAACTACAAACAGCGATAACTTGGCTCGAAATGAAGTAATTTGAATGAAATTTTGAATATTTTCATTTTACATTATCTATTTTGGAGCTACTATAGCAAGAATGGTCAGTTGTTTATTTAAATCTTACATAATGTATCTTTAACATATACGGCTTACCGTAAACACAGGTGTATTATATTTGGCCTTAACACACAAGTAGTTATATAATTATTTAAAGTAGCTAAGTCCGTAACTCAATATCTTCCAAAATCGTCGACATTGAAAACACGATTTTTTTTGCAATTTAAATCAGCATTGGTGTTGTGGTCTTACCTGGAAAAGATGGGCTTCTGATATCCAATATTTAAGACAAAATAAACATTTTACCATTGGTACACGAATCGTGTACCATAATGGGTTTCAGTGCCATTTGGGGGGGGGGGGTGATAGCTGAATGGTTAGCGTGCGCGCTGTATCATAAAGACTGTCATTGAGTCGACTGGCGTGGTTTCGAATCCCCGGTTGTACGTGGCAAGGAGTAGGGTCGCCTGTCCAACCTCGTGGGTTTTCTCCATGTAAATAAAATTAAACCATGTGATAGTCCCGAAATTACCTAGTTTGTGTCGAGTGGACGTTAAACCCCATTTCTCTCTCTTTCAGCGCCATTTGTAACAAGGTGCTCAAAGAATTAGGCTGGACTGGACATATTCCACAAGTCATGTCAAACGGTGATGTCATATTCTTATTTGGAGAGCATGCGCAATATATACTATCGGTGTTGACTGGAATAACCAGACGCTAGAAACTCTTTCGGTTGAGACTTCTGGCGTATTACGCCGAACATAACTGATGACAATTCACAGTAAAACGGAAACGATTGAATGTAAAACAGTTTATATAAATTCATATTACATTATTATATGTGTTGCGACCCATTTGTGCCAATTTCTAGGCCCAAAATATTAGCGATTTAGCTCCTTTAAAGTTTTATTGTATAGCGTAATATATCTGCTTATGACATTTTCCCTTTTCAATCAAGTCAGCTGTTTACAATGTACTTTGCTAAAGAACGTCCAATATCCCTTTACATTATCTAGTATTTACCCACTTCTAATATTGCTCTAGTTTGGGATAAATACAGAATATTAATTACGGAAAAATGGATTTCCTATTGAATATCGGTAACTGTCCAAGTCACGCGTTGGCTACGTTTTAAAGATCATAGGATTACGATTAAATAATTAATAATCTAAGTGTGATTTACCAACATGTATTTTCCCTATTTTAATACGCCCATTTTTAACGTGTACATCTTGTCGTCACCCTGGGTCTATATTTTGTATTAGATTTTGACGACAATCCAGAAGAAATTCGTCAATAATTGATTCAGTTATCGTTCTTGACATATAATTGAAAGTACGTTTAAGATAGCTTATAAACGTTTTTATATGTGATATTCGATGGATTCAAATCGTCACGCCTGAGATTGCGATTTGCCAGATATACACAGAGTTGGTTTAGTAAAAATTGCGCGTAGGGGTCTTTGGCTGGCAGTGGGATGAAACCGGAGGACCCGGAGAAAACCAACGAGGATGGACATGTGACCCTACACCTTGTCACGTACAACCGGTAAATCGAAATCGCACCAGTTAACCTAATGACAGACCTTATGATACAGCGCGCACGCGCTAACCATTCGGCACCCCCCCCCCCCCCCCGAATCAAGACAAGACTAGGGTTAGCTCCCCTTTCAGCGTAACGAAACTTTGTGGAACAGTTGCAGTCGGGCAAAGTCAAAATTGAAGAATATTTAGTCGTCTGCCACCGTTTATTATCTATAGTGTCATGGTACTTGATCACTGACGTCAGAAGTTATCACCCAATCTGCTTGGTGTTTATGTCTATTTATTGTTCAGTTTAGTGAATTCAAAGAACCACATCAAAGTTGTTTCGATTATTATAGAGTTATTGCCCCTGATTATGTCACAGGGTTTTGTCCATACGCAAATAATATTCTACAGTATATAGACACTGATTGTTATTTACTTCAAGTTTTATGGACCTCCCGGGCGAACTAGTTGATGTGTTTGTGTGATGGGATTGTTGCCTGGCAACCCATGTTTTGATTTATGATATTCTATAGACTACATAATATTTTTCGGTCGATATTGGGTAATGTTAGATCAATCGCAATAATCAAATATTTTGTTTACATTACAGATTCAACTGTTCAATATGACGATATAGATTTCCAAACTCCATCTTCTGATCCATTATAAAACAACTTTGTCCGGTAATTTCAAATAGACAACAGTTTCATGAGACCGTTCAAAATTACAACAACTGTGTAGAAGTGGGTATTACGGAACGGCTAAACTCGAAAACAACGACTGAATATAGACAACAGTTTCATGAGACCGTTCAGAATTATAACAGCTGTGTAGAAGTGGGTATTACGGAACGGCTAAACTCGAACACAACGACTGAATATGGAGATGCTTATTGAAGACCAAGCCTCACAAATTGTTCCGTTTTCTTACTTGACTACCGAAACGCCGGTCAACACCACCGACAGTACAGCGGAAACGTTAAAGACAAGTGTAGTGGAAGAACCCATCGCAACCGTCATTGCGACGTACCTTTGGGACATAGTTCCGCCCATGCTGTTGCTACTGGGAACGGTTGGGAATATTTTGACTATAGTTATATTCAGTAGAAAAGCTTTTAGATCGACAATATCCCGATATTTAACAGTTTTAGCTGTCAGTGACACAGTCGTTTTGTATTCCGGGTTATTAAGGCAGTGGTTATATTACCTCGTAGAGTATGACATTCGATCATATCATCTTGTAACATGCAAACTACTTACCTGGTTAATCTATACTTCATTGGACATATCCGCCTGGACAATCGTAGCTGTGACAATTGAAAGACTAATTTCTGTTTACTTTCCACATAAAGTTAAAACCTTTTGCACCACAAAAGTGTGTTACTTTGTTTTAAGTTTCGTCATTGTTGCCTGTTCGCTTGTAAACGGCCATTTTCTAGTTGGGTTGGAACTTCTGGAGGCTGCCGTAGATTCCTACACCTGTGCTACGAACAATGCAGACTATTTAACATTTTTGGAAGATATTTGGCCGTGGATGGATTTATGTGTCTATTCGTTATTACCATCGGGTTTGATAATTGTAGGAAACGCTTTACTCATTCGACAAGTTTTCTTCTCAAATTTACAATCACAAGAATCCATGTCCGATAAACGACAACAGATGAATAGACAGAAGAAAATGTCGTCAATGACCACCATGTTGATCGCTATAAGTATTCTGTTTTTAATCTGTACCACTCCCATCTCCATTCATATTATATTAAGCAGTTATTTACCATCTCCGACACCAGAACAAGCGGCGGAACAAGGTCTAATATGGTGTGTGGAGAATCTACTCATGTACTCGGGAAACGCCATTAATTTTATTCTGTATTGCTTCAGTGGTTCCCGATTCCGAAAGGAGATCGCAGCGATGCTGAGGAATTCGAGTTGCGGTGTTCGATTGTCGAGATATAGAAATAATGACAACGTGCGATCTAAGAGAACTAGTAATAACCATGGCACCAATGCATCGAGAATTGTCAGTAAAACTATATCAACAACATCTATTATAAGTTCTTCAGATTCGGTTTCAGTGGTCGGAATCTCGTTTAGTACACTGCCTGAATAATCATGATATGCAGAAGAGGAAACCAAAAGTTGTTGGATTTGGCGTTAGGCAAGATGATTCTAAATCTGATTAAAACACAGAGCCTATTTCGTTTCGTTTTTATAGTTCAAAATTTCGTTTTACTTTTTACTACACTAGGATCTGGAAGAGTTTTTATTATTGACGTGTTCTGAATGAAACGGTCTGTTACGGCGAGCTTTGGTTAATCAAATGACAGACGTCATAGGGTCAAAAGTCGCACGTATGACCTCTGACACGACCTATCGCTACAACCAGCCAGATCTTCATGTAGTGTAGGCCCACGAAAGTATAAAAAAACGAGAAACGAAATATAGATCTGTATTTTAATCAGATTTGATGATTCTTGTGATTATGTTTGTGTTTTAAGACATGGAACACTGTTAAAAATAAATGTAAAATTACAGTGAAAAATATGTAATTTATTTAACATAACGCGGTTAAAATACCACTGCATGTTTTTATACTTTAAATTTACTGTATTCGTGTGGTAACATGGGATTACCGTAAAAAATTGGTAAATTAACAATAAAATTGTAGTTTTACAAGTTAGAACTGTATTTTTATTACATGTAATCTGTAATAACACCACTGCATGTTTTTATACTATAAATTTACTGTATTAGTGAGGTAACATGGGATTACTGTAAAAGAAAATGGTAATTTAACAATACAAGTGTAGTTTTACAAGTTAGAACTGTATTTTTATTACATGTATCTGTATTGATACAGCTATGTTGGTTAAAAGTACATGTATGTTGTATTTTAACTGTTTATGGAGTAATTCTACTATTCAAACATGTTTAAATACGGGATATATTTGTGTACAATTTACAGGAAACGTATAATTGTACATCTCTTTAGAACTTTAACATTGATAGACCTTTGAAGGGCTTTATTACTTTTCGTCTATAGTCCACTTATGAGGGGGTCACGAGGGCTAAGTGGGTAAGACGTTGGCTCGCTAGCCTGGAGGTTGGGTATTCGATCCCTGCATTCCCTCTTTGGCCACATGTAATATTACATCAAACGTAATATAGAAATACAACCATATGTCAGTTTACATTATGTGAGCTGTATATTAAAAGAAATGTCATTTGAAATAGTATTTTTACAACAAATTGTAAATTTACTGTCAAATGGTGTTCAAATCAGTTATTTCCCTTCGACCACATATCGAATTTTGTGCGAAATATTTACTGTTATGTCAGTAAGATTAGCCTATTTTAGAGAAATAGGTTATTTAAAATCTGAATGCACCTAACTGGCGTATGAACACAGTGATATGCCATACATAGGGTTGTGTGGAACATTTTGTTTCGTGTCATGTCTCCTACACTTCCCATTGTAAGAAGCAGAACAGTAGGACGTTAAACGTCATTTTATTTAATTTCTTTCCATTATCGAATGATGTTTTGCATGCTCGGCTGAAAGGTCCGCAAAACCTTTAAGTGTTTGCCAGGATCGAACCTAGGGCTACTTAGCCGAGTGGGGAAAAACGAATTTCCTATAAAAAATGTCACCTTTTCAAAGTATATTTCAAGTAAATATACACTTTAAATTGTATTTTAACCGTAAAATGACTGGCAGAAAGTTGCCAGTAAAATCGCTGTATTTTAACACTGGCTTGTAAATGTACCCCTAAGCGGTAGATTTATATTTACAAACACCACGTAAATTTATAGTGAGTGTAAAATAACTCTGAGGTAAATTTACTACCACAGTGTAAATTTACAGTGGGTGCAAGATAACTTTGAGGTAAATTTACAGTGGGTGCAAGATAACTTTGAGGTAAATTTACAACCACAGTGTAAATTTACAAGCACTATGTAAATTTACATCGAAGTTATTTTACACTCACTGTAAATTTACATGGTGTTTGTAAATCTAAATCTACCGCTTATGTGTAAATTTACAAGTCAATGTTAAAATACAATCATTTTACTGGCAGAAAGTTGCCAGTAAATTTACGGTAAAAATACACAAAAATTATTTACAGTGAAGATCTCATAAACTATGTTAGACTTTGATACGCAAGTGTATGGACTCGTTTCAGTTTCTTTAAGATTTTGAAACACAAGAGATGTTCATGGATTCATTCAAATTGTAAATATATTTTGGGAACGATGGGTCCATTCTAATTTTTCTTAGGTTATAAACTGATGGATAACAAATTATTTTTTAATAATAAAATATTTTTGATAAGTTTTCGTCTGATGTTTCATTTTCAGTGTATACAAATCCCTTGGGATGGGTTAGTGGATAGTTTACACCCATCCCAACACAAAACACCCAACCAACGCTCATGAAACTTTATCAGACATTTCACCGCACCACACCGTTCACGCTCAGAAACAAAGAAACAATAAGACACAATACACACACACAATGGAGAACAAATGAAATGAAATGAAATTAAATGGGGTTTAACGTCCGTTCTGCTCCGAACTGGGCTAATGAAGACCGGCATAAGTCATACAGTCAACGGATCTTTTACGTGCACGCCAATGTGTACACGAGACCTCAGTTTTTCGTCCCATCCCGAATAGGATCTCCAGTAGGCCTGGAGACTGGACAGATTGGGTTAAGTTGGAGAGGGAGATAACATTATCCATATTTAGTGACAGTATTCACAATTGGTACACTAAAGGGTTTAAAAAAAAACATTCGTGCTGTATCATTAGGTCTGTCATTTAGTCAACTGGCGTGGTTTCGATTCCCCGGTTGTACGTGACAAGGAGTAGGGTCGCCTGTCCAACCTCGCGGGTTTTCTCTGGGTCCTCCGGTTTCCTCCCACTGCTAAAGATCTCTACGCGCACGCGTATTATTGAAATAAAATTGAACCATGTGTTAGTCGAGAAATGACAGTTTGTGTCAAGTGGACGTTAACTCCATTTTTGTTCTCTCTCTCCTAAAATTCGCGAACATAACTACGCGGACCGTGACATCCGGCCGGACTCTCCACGTTGCAAGGAAATTCAAACTCAGACGTCATTAGGGTGTAACGCAATTTTCCGTACAATCAAGGGTTATAATTAAGGAAATTACGATCTGATATGCCCGAATAAGAAAATGAACCACGATTTGTGGGTTATAAACATGTATTTCAAGTTTCATCTAAATCAGATAAAAATTGTGGCCTCTAGAGGGCCCACAACCTTAATATACCATATATTTACACTATTTGCGTACGAGGGGCGGCCATTTTGTCCGGCAGTTTTGGTCCGATTTTCACGAAATTCGGACTTAACCATCATTAGAGTGTAACAGGTGATATATTCGAATCTTTTTTTTTTAAATCGGATAATAATTGTAACCCCTAGAGGGACCACAAGCTAAAACACGATTTTTCCTATAATCAAGGGCCATAATTCAGGAAAAAGTTATGATCCGATATGCGCAAATTTCGCAAGGAACCAAGTTCTGTGGGTTATAAACATGCATTTCCGGTTTCATCAAAATCTGATGAAAATTGTGACTCCTAGAGTGTTCACAAGCTAAAAACGTGATTTTTCGTACAATCAGGGGACATAATTGATGAAGTTATGGTCCGATATATGATTTGATTAAAGTGCCTCGTACAATCAGGGGCCATAATTGATGAAGTTATGGTCTGACATATGATTTGATTAAAGTGATTCTCTGATTTTTCTTGATTTTTTTTTTTTTTTTTTTTTTTTTTTGCTGTTTAGTATATTATGTACTTACATATAGGTTATAGTGTTTTTTCACTGTAAGGCTGATATCGTTGACTAAACAACAAATAACTTTTATAATTAACCGTAAGTATTATACGATACTAAATATATACGTATTATTTATTAGTCAGTTAGAATTGTTAGTAATTAGGCTGTAGTCATTAAGTAGGTGTTATGTCACTCTAAGGTGTTAAAACTAAGACTATTGATTACACCACTATTGTCCAGGTTTGTCTTTTCAATAGTGATGGGTGTCATAATTAGTCACGCTTTTACACTGGTAGTGACATCTTTAACAGCTAGTTACACACCTGCTAATTAATGAATAACTGTATAATTTCTAACCACTTTCTATACATGCTAAACATTAGTTTAGAATATTGACCACTTATATGATTTAATGACCACAATTGTTATTACTAAAAGGACTAGCTTCATTAGTCAACGGTATCAGCCTAACAGTGATAGATACGATGATAAAGACACACACACCTTGACCTAGGACTGGAACTTTGTCAAATTATTTGCTAAAGCCCAGGCCTGACTAATGTTATGCTTAGAAATACATGTTGGGAAAAGAACAGAATAAGATAATGAAATGAATAAGTGATGATACAGAACTGCATATTGAAGATTGGTTAATGCATATATTAAAAAGAAATATTAACCAAAAAATGGCAATTTTTCAATTTTACGCTCTCTCTCTCGATAACTCAACTCGAACCACAACGGAGTTGCTTTGGAGAGACATAACTCTTGTTTAACCTCTAAGATTATTTCCCTTTAGATCTCAAAATTGCTTTTTTCGAAGACATTCGTACGCAGACCCCGGCACCCTTCCTAGCTTTAAATTTAGTCAAACAATGTAAGCGTTTGCTATTGGAAGTACATTACAAACAATATACAGTTTCTTGAGATAGAACACTCTTCACAGGCGTCTTCATGCACGCCGCCATTTTTAATCCATGGGCTCCGTCATTTTGAATCCAGGAACTTGAAAGTAGTTCCAATATGGCGATGGCGGAAACGTCATACAGCCAAGGTTAGATCACAGGCGCTTGTAACGTAGAAAACGTTTCAAAAATAACATTAAACTATGACTAAGTATAATGTCTAAAGGCTGTTACGTCCATATTTCGTAAGCGAGATTATCAAACAATTGGTCTGGTTCTGATTTCTAACTCAGGGGCAAATAACTCGTCTGAAACCGATTCTCTTTCGTTTTATAAGATATATTTGCCCCTGAGCGAACCTTATTTTACACTATATCAATAAGTATACCAAACTAATCATACAACAAACAAGCGAGGGGGAGAGGGACAAGAGAGAGATAGAGAGGGGGGGGGTTAACGATTACTAACTCGCTCGACTCAAACTAGGTCATTACGGGTCTAACATATGGTTCGATTTTATGTCGATAATTCGCTTGCGCATGAGGTCCGTAGCAATGGGAGGAAACAGGAAGACCCAGAGAAAACCCACGAGGTTGGACAGTCGATCCTATTCCTTGTCATATACACGCGGCAAATCGTAACCACGACCCCCCCCCCCCCCACTATTGAAAGGAAAGGTAAGCGACCCTTAGACCGCCCCCCCCCCCGAAAGGAAAGGTAAACGACAAGTAACATTACATCCGGTATTACTGATTTAACTCAGCTAGGATTATACAGATTAAAGGATCTATTGTCTTCATCGTGTCGTATATTACTGTTTCTTATAAATATTCAACTTCCACATTTTTTATTGGAATTAATGGATTAATTAAATACGGCTATATTTAAATCAAACAAAATAGCGGAAATATGGAAATATTGTTGAGAACGTGAATTAAGAAATGGTATAAATATCACAGCAAGAGCTTTGGTTCACTGCAGTATATTTGCTGTTTATTTCTCATACAAACACGTTTTCTAATTATTCACGAAACACGTTTTGGGGGGATTTTTCATACAACACGCGCGCTTTATAATTAAAACTATAAGATTTAATAAACTAATATTGTCTATTATTGTGTTCACGTGATTTAGACTAATACATGACCTAGTTGAAGTGATCTGATTTTATGACGACACACAGGTGATGGTATAATGTCTATAATGTCTGAGGTCATACAGGTGATGGTATATTGTCTGTGGTCAATCAGGTCATGGTATAATGTCTAAGGTCATACACGCCATGGTATAATGTCTGAAGTCATACACGCCATGGTATAATGGTATAATGTCTGAAGTCATACACGCCATGGTATAATGTATGTAGTCACTCGGGTCATACACGCCATGGTATAATGTCTGAGGTCACTCAGGTCATGGTATCCTGACATTAAAGTAACCATGCGTCATTTGCTTTTTTCGCTAAAATATGGAATTAACCCACGCTAGAATGTCCTCATATTGATTATTTAACATTTAATTAAGAAAACAAAATAATAAAAAAAATAATATACCCTACCCCCACCCCAACCCCGCCAGACCCGGATTCAATCTAATATAAAATAGGCCTATCAATTCTGTTCGTGTTCCTCTGCAAAATATGATGGCGGGCTTATAAGAGATCGAGCATCATAGCTTGATGGAATTTAGCCGTTTTTTGGAGCGATATTCATATTAGAGGTTCATCTATAATAATAATAATAATAATATAATAATAATGTGAACATTTGTATAGTGCTATTCCACACTGACTGTATGCTCGTAGCGTACGCAACGAGTTCAGTTTTTTACAATCTTAGCAACAATTCAAAGCACATTTCTAAACATAGCGTTGGAACAGATAAGTCTTCAATGATGATTTGAAAATTAATAGGGTTGGGCACTGTTTCAAATGATTAGGTAGATTATTCCAATGTGAAGCTGCCAGATATGAAAATGATTTTGCTCCAAAAGTTTTTAGATTGTACGTTGGTAACTGTAACTGAAAATTATTGTTTGATCTAAGGTTCCTAGAGGGTAAATGTTCCTGCAGCTGGAGGTACACAGGTGCTATTTTATGAACTGCCTGATATGTTAAACACGGTAATTTGAATTCAATGCGTTCATTTATGCGAAGCCAATGAAGAGAGGATAAAACAGGTGAAATGTGGTCGCGAACTTTTGTTCGTGAAACAATTCTTGCCGATGAATTTTGTATCCTTTGAAGGCGATTTTGTTGTTCTTTCGTAATACCAGATAATAGACATCGGACCAGAATTGTTGCAGCATCTGCTGTTATGAAATGACGTATTGAACCAATGTTTCGAATGTGGTAATGACATGTTTTGCAGAGGAAATTGCTCTTATTTTTCTATTGATAGATTATTTTCCATGATAACACCCATATTTTTAATGGAACTTAAAAGGTTGATGTTAGAATTTTCAACTTTCAAATATGTAATGTTACTCTTCTTTAATCAGGGGGGTTGGATGGCCGAATGGTTAGCACGCGCGCGCTGTGTCGTACGGCCTGTCATTGAGTCAACTGGCGTGGTTTCGAATCCCCGGTTGTACGTGACAAGGAGTAGGGTCGCCTGTCCAACCTCGTGGGTTTTTTCCGGGTCCTCCGGTTTCCTCCCACTGCTAAAGACCCCTACGCGCAAGCGAATTATTGAAATAAAAAATTAAACCATATGTTAGTCCCGAAATGACCTAGTTTGTGTCGAGTGGACGTTAAACCCCATTTCTCTCTCTCTCTCTTCTTTAATCTTTGGAGGGGCAATCTATCACAATATTGTGCAAGGGTTCCGAATGCAATGAGACAATACGGAGAGCTGTTTAATATAGGCTATGCCTGTTCCCCAATCCCTATTCAGATACAAATATGAATAAAAATATTGCTTATAAAAAAAGAGACAATAAAAACTATTTACACGGTCATATTGTACTGTAACGTGGTATTAACAGCAACCGAATGATAGTTAAACGCCTTCATTCTTCAGTCACTTTTATTCCACTGATGCGGATAAAATTTCGCCTGTCATAGGCAGATTTACCTCTTTCTTGCATAAAGTATGTTTAATCTATTTATGCTTTTTAGTCGACCTAGTTTCTATCAAGTGGTCGTTAATCTCTCTCTCTCTCTCTCTCTCTCTCTCTCTCCCCTCTCTCTCTCTCTCTGAACTGAAATGACATCGTTTTGAAACAGACAATTTTTGTTTTTGATACTGAACTAAATCTTATAATCTGTATAAATATAACAACTTCAAAGTAAGTAAATCGTCTGTTTAGTTGTAATTAAAATCTATATAAATATAAATAGTCTGTTAAGTTGTAATTATAATCTATATAAATATAAATCGTCTGTTAAGTTGTAATTATAATAATGTTATAAACACAGATATGACAACTGTCATTTAATCCGCTTAAACCATATCTCTTTTAACTGCCACATTGTCAGTAACTGATATTATTAAAATAAATGGGATATAAAACAAATGAGATTTATATTCTTAGTGATATTTTTAATCATCACAGCCAGTATATTTAGCGGTATTCATTTCTTAGAATAAAACACATTTATTTATTTTTGTAAGTGTCAATATGGCGTTTGCTCCTACTATTCATCGTATTACGTACACGGAATCGTGGTGTTTTTCGAACTATCCAAGGGACGAAACTCTTCCAATGGTTAACCCCATTATCCTACATTCCTGAAACTAGATTGGAAAATCTTGAGAAACTTTCTCGGTCTTCAACGGGATCGATCTCGTGCTAGTGAGCCAGCGGCTTAGTCACTAGGTACCCCCAAATTAGTTATGATTCACAACAGATAGACTAACTGTCCCGTGGATGCAACAGACTAATTGTCATGTTGATATCAAATATTGAGGAAACGAAAACACGTTGACCCTCTGACCCTTGGTGCTTTTGGGCTGTCCTTTCGTTTATGTTTCAACGTTTATCAAACGTTTAATGAATTAATAAACTGACAGTTGGTAAACTTTTTGACAGGAGAGCGATTAACGACAGATTACTCTCACTTAAGTCCAAGGGGGAGTAACTGTGGTTAATCCCGAGAACGTGTTATACAGGATATTGAATGTATTATGATATATCAATGAGGTGTGAATATTTAATATGGTTTTATAGAGGTATACATACTATTACATACTGTTCACTAGTCTTATATACACGTTAATCGGATATATTACTGGTATATAGTACACATTTAATTATTACTTCATCTATGGTTCGTTAAGCTGAAAAATGTTGCTTTTCATATTGGCTTTAGGTAAGTGTTTTCCCACTTCTATTAAACGCGGGATATTGTTCTTTCTTATTTAGGGGGTGAACGAATGGTTAGCACATGCGCGCGCTGTATCATAAGGCCTGTCATTGAGTCGACTGGCGTGGTTTCGAATCCCCGGTTGTACGTGAGAAGGAGTAGGGTTGCCTGTCCAACCTCGTGGGTTTTCTCCGGGTCCTCCGGTTTCCTCCCACTGCTAAAGACCCCTACGCGCAAGCGAATTATTGAAATGAAATTAAACCATATCTTAGTCCCGAAATGACCTAGTCTGTGTCGAGTGGACGTTAAACCCCATCTCTCTCTCTCTCTCTCTCTCTCTCTCCCTTTCTCTCTCTCTCTCTCTCTCTTATTTGATATTTGAGTTTAGAACAATAGAAAATGTGTTATTTTGATTGTGTGTACAAATGCTACACAACACCATAGCATTTATTAAATTAAATGCGCGTTAATTTGATATTCAATAAATCTAAACCTTTTAAATAATTCTTTGCAGACATACTTGAAAATAGCTAGTTTTTTTTTGGTTCTACCGGAAGTCACTTGTCATTGCACCGCAAATACGCAAGCAAGTTTTAGATATATACTGATGTCCAAAAGAAAGTATACATACTAAAAGTATAACTAAGTTTTGTTTAGATTAAAAACATTTGATAAAGCATTACTGAGTTTGTCTCTTGCGTCCAAACTCAACATTTCTAAGCAAAATAAAAATTTGAAACAAATTGACATTCTACCCAAATACCGTATACCATGGATAAACGACTTTGGTTGATGCAGCACAAAATGCACAGTGTATACTTTCTTTTGGACATTAGTATATTAATTCAGTCCTGTATGTCGACCAGTTCCCTGTACGGAATTCTAAACTCGTGTTTTATATGAAACAAGAAACATTAGGGGCTAACTTAATAATGTAATTTTAGACGATATCACCTCAGTGGAATCAGCCGTTGAATAAAGCTATTTCACACAGAGGATCATTCAAATTTTTTATTGAAGTCGGATACATCCAAATACATTATTAATGTCGTTTTATTTCTCTTAATTTCGATTTATTTCTCTTAATTTCAGGCGTATCGTTGTTTCCTGATGGATTAACGTTGATCTGTTTAACATCAGAAGGAGTTTTCCCGAATATTGACGCCCAAGGCTGTGATACATATTTTCGTTGTCATCGATACCAATCAGATCTACACAGTTGTCAAGATGGTTACCAATTCCACTTTCAGAACCGTGTGTGTCAACCGGAACAGGAAGTTTGGTGCCAGTGGCAGATACAGCAGTGGAATGAGATGCAGTATGGGGGTGGCACTCCAGACGAATATTACTACGATACAATGTATCCTTCACCCTTCCCTGTTGATCCGCTAGATGTACCTTTCAATCCATTCCCAACAGATATATTTCCTATTGCGCCATACCCTGAATATTACGACAGAGCTGGTGTCCGTCTCCCTGTTCCCGATTTTCCATATTATGATGGCATATATACGGATCCTACATTTCCGATATACCCAACCCTAGAAGACATCCCCGGATTTGGGTTTCCAAGTGAATATCTGCCTACTATTCCCGCATATGTTCCGGATTTACCCTGGGATACTGGTGTCTATCCCTTTTATACTGGATCTGATTCGATTGATTATCCACTTTACGACAACCTCCCCTTCCCAGATGTTTATTCACCTGGAGTTCCTGATCTTGGATTCCCAGGGATTTCCTGGAGCGGGGCTTTTCCTACAGGAACTGGAATCAGCGCATATTCTCCAGATATCTACTCCCTTGGATACCCTGGAGGTCAATTCGGAGGAAGCGTTCCGAGTTTTACAGGCATAAACGAATACATTCCTAGGATTCTAAACATTCCAGCTCTCAGTGCACCACAGACAGGATTTGGATTTGGAATGCCGTCTTATGATGCTGGTGTGTCAGGAAATTTTGCCGGACTGAATAATTGGTTAGGCGTAAACACTGGAATCCCCATAACACCCTTGATATACGGAAATGGTTTTACACCCTTGACAAGTTATTCCCCTAATTTGATTAATCAGGGATTTAATTTTATTCCGGGATTAGGTTTTGGGTCAGGCGTCGGGACTCCAGGAACTAATTTGGGAGCTGGGGTCTTCACTGGTACCGGAATAACTATCACACCAGCCTATCCAGCTGGTACCGCTACAAATACAGGAACGTTCGGCACCAATAATGTTGATTCGGGAATCTTTGGCACGTCAGGCACTGGTTTCAGTAATGTTGGCACAGGAGTAATTGGAAATGGAGGATTTTATGGATCAACAGATCCTTTCCTACCAAACACTGGAAATACAAATCTAAACACCGGTGGTGTTCAAACGCGAATTATTACCCCAAATATTAATCTTGGAGGGGCTGGTAATACGGGAACTTATCCAGTAGGATTTGGAGGTTCAAATGGTTTGGGTGGATATCCTGTAACTGGTGGTGTTTCCCCTTTAGGCTCTGGGGCGACTGGGGGCTATATTCCGACAGGCTTAACACCAACCGATAGCACATTTCCCGTTAGTTCAGGGGCTGGATATTTCCCAACAGGTTTTGGTTCATGGTCCAACCCTAGTAGTGGTGGCGTAGTGCCTATTAATTCTGGTGGAACAGGGGGGTTTGTGAGTAATGGTGCAAATGGCGGCGTTGTACCTATCGGATACAGTGGGACCGCTTCGAACATTCCAATGAACACAGGAACAATAAATACACGATCTGGGGGAGTGGTTCCGATAGGTATTGATACATCAGGATGGTTTGTTCCTACTGGTAATCCAATCACAGGAGGAACCGTTCCGCTTTCTGGTGGAAATGTTCCAACAAGTTTTGATTTTGGTGGATATAACCCTAACGCTGCTGGAGGTTATATACCGAATACCGGTGGTGTCGTTCCCATCGCATCTGGAACCGGAAATGTTTTTCCCAATTATGGAGCAGGTGGCTATTACCCGAATAATGGTGGAACTCTGCCAGTGACATCTGGAACCGGAGGTTATGTCCCAAATACTGGAGCAGTTGTGCCGGTGGGAATTGGAACAGGGGGTTATGTTTCGAATAGCGGCGGATCTGTGCCAGTGTCTACTGGACCAGGTGGTTATGTTCCAAATAATGGAGCAACTGTGCCGGTGGCAACTAGAACAGGCGGTTATGTTCGGAATAATGGTGGCGCTGTGCCGATGGGAACTGGAACCGGAGGTTATGTTCCGAACAATGGCGGAGCTGTGCCGATGGGAACTGGAACAGGGAGTTATGTCCCGAATACTGGTGCAGCTGTGCCGGTGGGAACTGGAACAGGGAGTTATGTCCCGAATACTGGTGCAGCTGTGCCGGTGGGAACTGGAACAGGAGGTTACGTCCCGAATACTGGTACAGCTGTGCCGGTGGGAACTGGAACAGGAGGTTACGTCCCGAATACTGGTGGAGCTGTGCCGGTGGGAACTGGAACAGGAGGTTACGTCCCGAATACTGGTGCAGCTGTGCCGGTGGGAACTGGAACAGGAGGTTACGTCCCGAATACTGGTACAGCTGTGCCGGTGGGAACTGGAACAGGAGGTTACGTCCCGAATACTGGTGCAGCTGTGCCGGGGGGAACTGGAACAGGAGGTTACGTCCCGAATACTGGTACAGCTGTGCCGGTGGGAACTGGAACAGGGAGTTATGTCCCGAATTCTGGTACAGCTGTGCCGGTGGGAACTGGAACAGGAGGATATGTCCCGAATACTGGTACAGCTGTGCCGGTGGAAACTGGAACTGGGGGTATTGTTCCGAATACTGGTGCAGCTGTGCCGGTAGGAACTGGAACAGGGAGTTATGTCCCGAATACTGGTGCAGCTGTGCCGGTGGGAACTGGAACAGGAGGTTACGTCCCGAATACTGGTACAGCTGTGCCGGTGGAAACTGGAACAGGAGGTTATGTTCCCAAAAGCGGTAGTGCTGTATCCGTGTCGTCTGGAACAGGTGGTTATGTCCCGAATGATGGCGCAGCCGTGCCGGTGGGAACTGGAACAGGGGGTTATGTTTCGAATGGTGGCGCAGCCGTGCCGGTTGGAACTGGAACAGGAGGTTATGTACCGAATAATGGTGCAGCTGTGCCGGTGGGAACAGGAACAGGAGCAGGAAGTTATGTTCCCAATAGCGGCGGCGGTGCAGCCGTGTCGTCTGGAACAGGTGGTTATGTCCCGAATAATGGCGCAGCCGTGCCGGTGGGAACTGGAACAGGAGGTTATGTCCCGAATAATGGCGCAGCTGTGCCAGTAGGAACTGGAACAGGGGGTTATGTTTCGAATAGCGGCGGATCTGCGCCAGTGTCTTCTGGAACAGGTGGTTATGTCCCGAATAATGGCGCAGCTGTACCGGTCGCAACTGGAACAGGAGGTTATGTTCCGCAGTCTGGTGTATATACTGGTAATACAGGAGGCAACGCCCCAACTGGGTATGCAAACAGTGGCGGAACCTTCCCAGTTAGTTCTAGTGGTTATATTCCTACAGGTGTTGCGTCTGGTGGTTATATTCCTACAGGTGTTGCGTCTGGTGGTTATATTCCTACAGGTGCTGCGTCTAGTGGTGGTGGAACGGCGGTTCTTGGTGGTTTTCCAGGGTCAGTATACAATCAAAACCCTTTATTCCCCGATACAGTAGGATTTCCAACGAACACTGGGTACAATCAAGGAAGTAACACAAACGGCCAGCCTAATTTTCAGACGGGCTCTTTGAGTCCGGCGAACTTAGGTTATCCTGGAAATTCGGGGTATAATTTTGGAAACAACGGAGGATTTCAGGGTTTTGATTTAGGAACAAGTGGGGCTGCAAAGTCAGGGTCAGTCTCAACCTTGACGAACGCGAACCAAAGTAACGTAACTGTATCTACAGATGCTGTGGTAGCTAACAGTACCCTAACTGATATTGTTAACGCCGGTGCTGATGTTCCCATATTCCTCAGTGTAAACAATACATTACCCGCGGATACTAAAACATAGTGACGTCTATTAACTGGACTAATAGTGATATATTTTTTCATATGGCTTCAAAAACTATATTAAATTTAATAAACTTTTAAATCATAGTTCATATACCATTATCAATGACCATCATATAAACAGTGCCATAAAATTAAACCCTGGTCATCCGTCATACAAATATGTGCAAGTAGGAGATTTAACAGCACTGTCATTGTAAAGACATAACAATGATTGTGTTCGGTTCGATGAATGACAGTGGTCAGAATTTATAAAATGGTGTACAGATATATAGCTTAACTACTAGACATTGCCTTTTGTGATAATCTATTGTAAAATAGTTATGTTTGTGAAGCAACTGCAGGACATTTGCATGAACAACACCATTAAGTCATATGTTTTATTTGATTGTTGTATTGTGTACCTGGAAGTTTAAACCTATATATTTAATTCGACACAAGCTATGTAGATTTATTAAATATATGTAATGGAGGGAAATACTTTGGCCATATTGTAATTTCTATGGTATTATAAATAGATGAAAATCAATAATAATATAATGTTTTTTTCTTATCTCGACTTGGCTAAAATTTCTAAATGTTACTTTCAAAATAATCCCTGATACTATTCCCTACACTGGCTCACTTAACGTTTGGCCCCATCAGCTTCGTTTCTTCTTGTTAGTGATACATGATGAAGGACGGGCAGGGAACATCGTCTAGTCGTTCGGGCGGGGCGAAGAGTCGAGGTCTCCCGGACACGTTGGCGTCCACGTAAGAGCAACCCTTGGTTCCTTAAATTCGATGAAGAAGGGGCCGAAAAGCCTCTGGTCGAACAAACATCCATAGCACACTGGTGCAGAAAAGTCTCTTGTCGAACAAACCTTCTTAGCGCACTGGTGCAGAAAAGTAGGAAGTTAAACCCCATTTCATTTCTGTAGATACGAACTGATCACCTATCGTATTTGCTGTAGATTAACACTATAAAGGCAGTAATACGAACTGGTCACCTGTCGTATTTGAAGACGAACTGGTCACCTGTCGTATTTGAAGACGAACTGGTCACCTGTCGTATTTTGAAGACGAACTGATCACGTATTGTATTTGAAGACGAACTGATCACCTGTCGCATTTGAAGACGATCTTGAATGGGGGAAATGGGTTGCAAATTTATAAATACAATTTTTGTCATACCTGTCATATTTTTCATACTTGTCATATTTTCTATAATGTTCTGTATAAATACATAATAAATATATGTATGTATCTTGTTTTAAATGTTGATATTTTTAATAATAAATGTTAAACAGTTTGAAGATGGTGACCATGGTAACAGATAAATAAATGACACTGCTGTAGAGTCGAAGTATGCAACTGGGAGCCACGGTGGCTCAATGAGTAAGACGTTAGTTCCCTAACCTGGAGGTCCCGTGTTCTATCCCTGTGTTGGCCGAGATAGTTCATCTGGATTGTCCGACGTGGTCCCCCACGTCCTTTCCAATGGAGTAGGACCTGGCAGGAGGACACCGTATAGTTGTTCGAATGGTACAAATCTGAGGTCCCATGTAAACATTGGCATTTGTAATTGTCCCCCGCCTTTCGAAGAAAGCAGGGGACTATTAAAATGGGTTCGTCCGTCTGTCTGTCTGTCCGTCTGTCTGTCTGTCCGTCACACTTTTTGGGACACAATAACTCCCCTTCTAATTGACCTAGAATGTTCAAACTTGGTGTAGGTGTTTATTAGGTCAATGCCTTGATGGAGTTCGAAGGTGAGCATTTTCTGCTTAGGCTAAGCAGAGATAAGCGATTTGATTGGTTGATGCTTTGGGACACGATAACTTTAGTTCTAATTAAGTTAGAGTGATAAAATTTGGTGTATAGTTTCATTACATCAATACCTTGACTAAGTTCGATAATGAGCATTTTCTGCTCAGGGTAAGCAGAGCGATAAGCAATTTGATTGGCCAAGACTTTGGAACACAATAATTCTCCTTCTAATTGAGGTAAAATGTTCAAACTTGGCGTAGGTGTTTATTAGGTCAATGCCTTGATGGAGTATGATGATGAGCATTTTCTGCTTAGGGTAAGTAGAGATAAGCAATTTGATTGGTTGATGCTTTGGGACACGATAACTTTAGTTCCAATTAAATGAAAGTGATGAAACTTGGTGTATAGTTTCATTACATCAATACCTTGACTAAGTTCGATATTGAGCATTTTCTGCTGAGGGTAAGCAGAACGATAAGCAATTTGATTGGCCGAGACTTTGGAACACAATAACTCTCCTTCTAATTGAGCTAGAATGTTCAAACTTGGTGTAGGTGTTTATGAGGTCAATGCCTTGATAGAGTGCGAAGATGAGCATTTTCTGCTTATGGTAAGTAGAGATAAACAATTTGATAGGTTGATGCTGTGGTAAATGATAACTTTAGTTCTAATTAAGTGAGAGTGATGAAACTTGGTGTATAGTTTCATTACATCAATACCTTGCCTAAGTTCGATGATGAGAATTGTCTGCTTAGGCTAAGGAGCAATAAGCATTTTGATTGGTCAAGACTTTGGAACATAACAACTCTGCTTCTAACTTGAAGTTGATGTTCGTCTTGACCGAATTCAATGATTAACATATCGAGCTAAAGCTAAGCAGAGATAAGCAATTTCCTTGGTCGATGCTTTGGGACAAGATAACTTTGATTCTATCTGATAGAGAGTGATGAAACTTAGTGTATAGTTGATAATCAGTTCGATTGCTAGATACTTTTGAAAAAAATAGATGTGCGATAAATTAAAATGTATCATCTATTTATTTAGGGATTTTGGCGGTGGAAAATCAGCCTCACTGTTGGCTTGTTCGATTTACGAGTAGGGTGCAAAAACTTTCTCCGGGCCAAATCTCCCTAATAGCACACTGTATTGTATGGCTGATGTCCGTCTTAGTTAGTCCGACCTGAGAAGAACAATAGGACGTTAAACTCCATTTCATTTTATTTTAAATATATAAAAATGCAACCTATATTGATCACGGTTAGTTTGGGACTAGTTGTTATAATTGTAATAAGTTATAAGAGTGCTTACTATTGTGGAACACCTGGCATCACTTGTGAAATGAAATGAAATGGGGTTTAACGTCCTGCTGGCATGACTTGTGACTGGGTGTATTTATTAGAGGGCAATATTGTACACATCTATGCCCAGATGACAAAAGAGAGAGAGAGAGAGAACTGGGGTTTAATGTCCACTTGACACATACTATGTCATTTCGGGACTAACAAATGGTTCAATTTTATTTCAATAATTTGATTGCGCGTAGGGGTCTTTAGCTGTGGAAGGAATCCGGGGAACCCGGAATTGACCCAACTGCTTGTAACGTACAATCGGGGAATCGAACCGACACCAGTTGACTCAATGACAAACCTTATGATGCCCAGATGGCACCTTTAGCATGATCTGGAGGATGACTGTAGTGTCATAAAACATATTTGCTTGACCTAATAATCACTTAGTTACACACCCTAAATCAAATAATATGAATAATATTTTGAATACTGGTTTGGCCATGGGATGTCTTATGGGAGGTCCCAAGTTTAATTAGCATTCTCAGACTTAAGTTAAGAATTTACTCAACTTTCAATCACTGTTTATGAAAAATATCTTTGATCCAGAAACACAAAAATTGCACACAGTTTCTTATTGATCTATTTGATACATTAAAACAACAAAAGTTTTATAAAGGGCTATATTTAAGTTAAAATAAGGTGAACAATTTTGAGTAAATTCTTAACCTATGTCTGAGAATGTTTTGTGAAGTCGGGGGAAGACCCCATGACTCCCCAGTGTAACAAGTTCAGATTTGAACAGTGCAATTACAAACATTGTAATTATAAACGGAATGGAACAAGTTTTAAGTTTATAATACCATGGAAACTATAATGCCCGTGACTATACAACTCCTAGTCCCTGCACCACAACTTATACATTTAGGTGGAGGGGGTTGGATGGCTGAATGGTTAGCACGTGCGCGCTGTATCATAAAGCCTGTCATTGAGTCAACTGGCGTGGTTTCGAATCCCCGGTTGTGCGTGACAAGGAATAGGATCGCCTTCCAACCTCGTAGGTTTTCTCCGGGTCCTCCGGTTTCCTCCCATAAACCATATGTTAGTCCCGAAATGACCTCGTTTGTGTCCAGTGGACTTTAAACCCCATTTCTCTCTATGTATATACATTTAGGGTCTTATGTACATATCAAGTTGTAATTATATTCAATTACAGGGATTAGAAATCATCTTTATTAGATGTAATTAATTCATATGCATGTACATACGGTATAGATTTTTATGGTTCTAATTAAACATACAGCTAGACATGGAGATAGATGGTTGAATATAGCAAGTTACTAGATTATCTTATAAAGTGCTATCACGTGTCTGGTGTGACATAACATAACATGGATATCTTATAAATAAACTTCATACTTAAACTCCTAGACTGTTTTCATCCTGGAAACTGTATTTGAACTGGACGAGGTAGTGCAACGCCAAAGACCTATGTCACTATCTGCGTCGCTCGAGATTCCCCGGTTGTACGTGACAAGGAGTGGGGTCGCCTGTCCAACCTCGTCGGTTTTCTCCGGGTCCTCCGGTTTCCTCCCACTGCTAAAGACCACTACGCGCAAGCGAATTATTGAAATAAAATTAAACCATATGTAAGTCCCGAAATGACCTAGTTTGTGTCGAGTGGACGTTGAACCCCATCTCTCTCTCTCTCTCTCTCTCTCTCTCTCTCTCTCTCTCTCTCTCTCTCTCTCTCTCTTTGCGTCGCTCAAACTGCCCTTTTACCTCAAACGGAGCCGCCAGACAACTGGCAATCAGAAATACATACAGATCAGTCGATGACAAGAGGGAGAGGGTTGAAGATTTGACTGTACCGTCCATATGTGGGTAAACTAATACACTATCACATTCACCAGAAGTGTAATATATAAAGCCAATGTCTACAGATCATCATTAAAAGATCTGGACCAAGACCCTCAGTCCAAAAGGACAAAACTCATCAAATATCCCTAAGCCGTCACCCACGAATGAAGGGCGAAAGTAATATTTAGTCTTTCCTTTTTCCCCTTTTGCATAGCGATTTTTGTTGACTTTTTGGTGTAGAATCGAAGAAAGGGTTTGAAAAAACATTTTCTGCCAGGTTTTGGTGAATATTCGTGATTTTGAGGCGGAATGGTACGAGAGTTAAGAGGCTGGTTAGGTTGAAATGTAAGGCGGGAAATTTCATGTTTACTGATCTTTATCTCAAGTTTTTCATGGTGAACCTCATACGTGCTTTTGAGTAAGAGGTTGCCACATGTTGCTCCATCTGTGGTAGAAAGCGTTCTACCCAACGAAAATTTGGGAAAAAGTTAGAGCCGGTCTAAGTGACGAGAATTAACATTAGAGTCAATGGGGAAATCATTAGTGATCTGTGCCCGGACCACCGGTTAATTCCCCTTATCTAATTGGTACCCCAAATATAGTTCGAAAAATATTTAGATATATTTCTCTCTACTCTTTTCTGTCTTTCTTGCAGGGGGGTTGGATGTCTGAATGGTTACCACATAAAGTCTGTCATTGAGTCAGCTGGCGTGGTTTCAATTTCCCGGTTGTACGTGATAAGGAGTAGGGTCGCCTGTCCAACCTCATGGGTTTTCTCCGGGTCCCCCAGTTTTCCCCCACTGCTAAAGACCCCTACGCGCAAGCGAATTATGGAAATGACCTAGTTTGTGTCGAGTGGACGTTAAACCCCATTTCTCTCTCTCTGTGTCTTTCTTTCAAGCATGTGTAAGTAGCGTTTTTGGCAAGGCCCCGGGGTAAAGCACTGCACCTATGCCCTACTTTTACAACAACCACTTACAGGAATAAAAATGTCAATGGTCGATAAATTTAAACCTATATTTATTCAGTGTTTACTTATTTATCGACAGCAAGTCACATATGCTCGATGGGCCTGGGACAACTGCCCAGCTTGCCATCCGATTAGACGTTCCTGTTTGTTTGGTGTAGAATTAATGTAGATTGCTATTTTCTGTCTGGTTTGGTGTCATATTAAGACTTTTAAGGCGGACAATAAAATGAGTAAAGACGTCTTGTTTTGTTTCACCACTAAAACGGGAAAGATATTCGGACCCCATTGTGCTAAGAATTTCATTGAATTGAAATTTTGGTGGTCAACTTCATAGAAATTTAGTACTTTGATAATCCGATAATGTCATACTTGTAGTGATGCAATGGAGAATTCTCGGTGAAATTTAGGAAATCGGCTACATATACGTGTGCTATAAGGGACATTTTGCCTAAACAGCGCCGCTACAGCCTACTCTTATATCGAATTCCAAATGTCAATGGTCCTTTTACGTGCATGACAATGTGTACATGGGATCTCTGTTCTGTGTTTTGTTCCATCAGTTGTGCCACTGAAAAGGTCAGACCACACCGGAAAAACCCGGGAATAATTTAACCAATTAGTTAACATTATAGTGAACAGAGAATCATAAAATAGTAAAATCTAATGATATCAGCTGTTGAATCATATAGATCACACATTAATGCGACTTCATGCGGCTTGTCTTTTGCGTCCAGTAAAGAAGGCAGACCATTTGTCTCAAAGGTTATCGAAAATTTATTTTTCAAATTTGATAATAGGTCTATGGGGTGAATAATATGAGACAAACACCATGTGCCAGGTCTACACCTTAAAACACGCCTTAAAAGATTATAATAACTTGCTGTGTATTATGGTAAACTGTCTTTTAATATGGACTCCCACCACACCAAACATTCCTTAGTTTGGTGTGTGTTTTATGGTCTGCGAACTCTTATTTAATTTGACATGTACAAATGTTCTTAACAACCTCTTTACATTTTTAATTACAATATTTTAATTTATGATATAAAAATTTAAACATATTAAAATAATACTTTATAAATAGGGCTTATGTAGGATTTAAGTTCTAGAAGAGAGGTGAAATACATAACAAGCGGCTTATCTGTACTTGTCAACAAAAAAATAAACAAAGGGATAATAGTTAAAAAAAGAACAGTGCAGTTAATGTCACGTGTCCTTTTTAATTATGGAAGATTCGACCTTTTTAATCGTTTAGTTGATATAACAACTTGTTTATTTTTTTATAGAGATAACTGGAAGGATATTTCTACTATTGACGATTGACTGTAATCGTAGATTAGTTTCTATATCCCTAAACACGGAGTACTTTCCGTAGCTGTCCCTAATCACAGGGTACTTTCCCTGTCCCTTATCACAGAGTACTTTCCCTGAACCTAATCACTGGGTACTTCCCCTGTCCCTAATCACTGGGTACTCCTCTGTCCCTAATCACAGGGTATTTTCCCTGTCCCTAATCACTTTCCCTGTCCCTAATCACAGGGTACTTTCCCTGTCCCTAATCACATCGTACAGTCCCTGTCCCTAATCACAGGGTACTTTCCCTGTACCTAATCACTGGATACTCCTCTGTCCCTAATCACAGGGTACTTTCCCTGTCCCTAATCACATCGTACAGTCCCTGTCCCTAATCACAGGGTACTTTCCCTGTACCTAATCACTGGGTACTTTCTATGTCCCTAATCACAGGGTACTTTCCCTGTCCCTAATCACATCGTACAGCCCCTGTCCCTAATCACAGGGTACTTTCCCTGTACCTAATCACTGGGTAGTTCCTCTGGTCCTAATGATAGAGTACTTTCCCTGTCCCTAATCGTAAAACAGTTTCCCTGTCCTTAATCATAGGACAATTCCCTGTCCCTAATTACAGGACACATGCACTTGTTGGTGGTTGGTTGGTTGGTAGAATGCCACAAGCTATGCATATTATCCTAAACATAGATAGTGGCTATATTGTTCTCTGTTAACAAAGTCAAAATTTTAATTTTAAAAATATCTGTAAGCTTCTAAACTATTTTATTTGGAGTTTAAAAAAAACAGTTGCAGTTTGACATGCAGATGACTGAGATCGGTAACAATGGATTCAAATCACTAAACGATTATAATTTCTCCTAAATCACGTTATTACAATTAAAACTAGTGTTTACTTCCTGATTAGTAAGCAGCTTTAATACAAAATAGTTAATTACAATCAATGTGACCTACCAAACTTCCTGCTAAAACAATGTTAAGCTAGCAACGGGCACCTGTAAAATGTCTCTATAGGTAAAATATGGTGTATGTTGAGACCACCCATTGTTTCTGATCGTGTATAGTCCCCTCGGTATGTATATAAGGGACCACTGATGATATAGTTTTAGTCAGTTTACGTCTAGATCAGCATCGTGTTGAGAATTATATATATACATCTAGTTGAAGAGAGTGTTTAATCTTTTAGAATGGCAGTAACGGTGGGAATAACTGTTTTAACAGGTAAACATTTATACTTATTATAGAGAGATAGAGAAATGGGGTTTAACGTCCACTCGACACAAACTAGGTCATTTCGGACTAACATATGGTTCAATTTTATTTCAATAATTCGTTTAGCAGTGGGAGGAAACCTCAAGATCCGGACAAAACCCACGAGGTTGGACAGGCGACCCTACTCCTTGTCACGTACAACCGGGGAATCGAAACTACGCCAGTTGACTCAATGACAGGCCTTATGATACAGCGCGCACATGCTAACCATTCGGCCATCCGACCAGATAAAAATAATATTATAAATATACAATTACCGTGGCTGTGACATTTTACCACATTAGGTTAAGATGAATTAATGGAATTATGAAAATACCCCCAGGGAATCTCCATGTACAGAGGCAAAAAACAAACCAACAAAAGTGTGAATATCTTAATACTTTAAACAATCGTAATATTAATTCTACGACTTAATTGGGTGGTCACGGTATCTTTCTGTTTTTAAGAAAAAATTCTTGGTTTTATTTGGTACGTCCATTAGTAATTTAGATATAAGAAAAAAGTTATCCCGGATTCTTCCAGTATATGTAATCATATTAATAAATTAGTCATTTATATAACGTTGAGGTATATTAATAAGTTTAAAGGTCACGGGAAAAGCATCTAAAAAAGTTTAAATACCCGAATGTCAACATTACCTGCAACAGGTAAAATATCAACGTTAGTAATTTCCGCCGTTCTCCGTGAGTAGTCGTAACATTCCGTCTATAAACAATCCGTGACGTCATTTTAGTCCTTCTGCTCATAGAAATATAGACTAAAATATGTCACGTGTCGCCTTGAGATTTAAGCGCATTAATATATTACTATTTGCTACTCCTTCGCATATATTTCGTGCTTTAAAACTATTGCGACATTATATATCGAACTCGCAATTTATTTTAAAAAGTGGGAATTTTATCTTCACGGTGATAACAAATTCTTACTAAATACAAATTCTTACTAAATACAACTTGTCCCGATGATTTGTTGTTATCAAACACCGAGGTCCCCTGTACACATTGGCGTACTGGTAAAAGAACCGTTGGCAGTTTGAATTCGATTTAAGAGTAGGCCGTTGTACAACTATCTGGGCAAAATGTACATCACAGCAGACTGTATGGCGCATCCCCGTCTTCATTATCTCAGTCGGTGTAGAACAGTACGTAGGATTTGAACCCTATTTTTATTGCATTTTTTATTGTTTTCTTTTCAGCCCTGATTTGTATAGCGAGATGTCAACAAGACACCGCATCTGTTCCTAATTTCTTCCCAGCAACAGACCAAGCTCAGGTGCCACCAGCCCAGGGACCGGGTGGTGCTGATGTAGCCCCAGTACAAGATCCCAACCAAGGGCAACAGCCTTCTCTACCTCCAGTTTCTAATCAACCACAGGTACCACAGGTACCAGCAGTCGATGGTCAAACACCACAAACTAATCAAGGACCAGCTGTACCATTTCCTGGACAAGTTCCTCCGCAGATTCCTGGACAAATTCCACAGCAACCATTTCAAGGAGCTCCTTTCCCTGGTCGTATCCCTCAAAACTTTTATCCTTACCAACAACAACCAGGTCCCATGCCTTCTTTCCAAAACACATTTGCCGCTGATCCATTCCAACAAAATCCCTTTCCCTTCCAACAGACCCCTTTCCCACAAGGACCAAACCCACTTTTACAAGGTCAAATGCAGCAAGACTCCTCCCAGTTTTCTAAATTCCTCTTCTGTCAGGTTGCTAATGGTACCATGCCTGATTGGACTGATATCACCTGTAATAAATACTGGTCATGTTTGAACTTTAACCTTTCCTTACTAACCTGTCCTGCTGACCAAGCCTATGATTATCCCAGTAGAGCATGTGCAACCACTGCTAACGTGAAGTGTCAGGAACAGAACGTCAACTTCTGGCAACTGTTACAGGCTACTATTAGAGGTGGAGCTCAACCTATGCCTTCCTTTACGCCATTAAGCAGTTTACCTGGTAAGTACAAACAGATCGGCGCTGCCGTGGCTCAATGAGTAAGGCATTGACTCGCTAACCAAGCGATCACGGGTTCGATCCCGCGATTTTCCGGCATGGTGTCCCCTTATCTGCGAGAATGACGGAGGGCCTGGCAGGAAACAAAGTGTAGTCATTCGGATGGGACGTAAACCCGAGGTCCTGTTTACACATTATCGTGTTGACAGCTAGAATTCAGTTCTCTTAATAGCACACAGTATGACGTATCCCCGTTTTCATCCGACCGTCAAAGCCCATTTCATTCCTTACAAAAAGATGGTTACTTCCTTTTTAAGCGGGTTTCTACACATTATTATATGGGTTGTCTATAGTATAGGTTATATTTCTCACGTTCCTGTAGTTTTGCTGCAATAATTTATATAGTATCACGTCAATGATACAATTATGTGTTTAACCCAACAAAATGGTATCTTACATTTTACTCTTTTTTTATGTTTTGCAGGTGACCGGCAATCTGTGTCTCTAGAAACTGATGTCTGCACAAAACTCGGTGCCAACTTGCCTCGTCTTGAATCAGTGACCAACAGCGCCCTCTTAAATCTATCCAACTGTCCATTCAACAATTGTAATATGACCTTGATCACCTTCGTCTGTCCTTAAACTCGTAATTCAAACCTGGTTACAGTCAATCATCATATCAGCATCTGTATCATGACGTCATCAAACTAACTTGTTACTTCAACCATCTATAACTTAAACCAAACAATGCATGCACCCTTGTATCTTCCGTCATCAAAACAATTATAGCGGAAATTAAACGCTGGAAGCTTCTTTTCGTGATATTGCCATAAACAACTCTTGTCTGAAAATGTAGAACTTAGAATTTTAACACTTAAGTTTTTGTTTTGGTAATTATTATGTACTGTACACCCCCACCCCCTCGCTGTTACTATTTGCCATGTACGTTTACTTATTCGGCAGTGAATTAATACTTTTATAGTATCAGTGGCCAGGCAGGGTAAGCTTACTCTTCCGGACACCTGTTACCACTGTTTGTCGTGTATTTTTTACACGGTGAACAGTCCATATGCTGATTACACTATTTTGCCTTATTACACTATTTTGCCTATACCCTTTTTTTAGGACTTCGAATTTTGTCTAATGGTTTGGATTGTTCGTACTTGGTTTTATTTTATTGTCATATACAGACAATCTTTCTTGCTTAACATTTCATAAATTGTTATTGAAGAGGGAAATTAGAGTTATAAAACAGAAAAATCCAGGGGAGTGTAAGTAAACAAACCGCCAGTCAACAGCTCACACTAATTTCTATATTCAACAGATTGTTATAAGAATGAATCAATTAATGAATGAATGAAATGTATGTTTGTGTTCCCTTCCCTTTAATCCACACCCCCTTACCCTTGTAGCATGCTATCACTCCTAACATTTTCCTCATCATCATGCGATCTACCTACAATTTGTTTTCTCAGAAACTTCAATAAATTTTGAGTCACCTTTCTCAAGGTCCATTACTCATAACTTACTTTAAATCTACTTGTTGGTGAATATTTAGCTGTAAATGTTAATTGTTCAGTTCATGTCCTGTATTATTCAACTATTTCCTGTAAAATAGCTTTTCTCGCTTATATCATATATTATATAAAATAACATCTATATATAATAGTGAGTTCCTTGTGTGCCAACAAAGGATAGTTTTCTACATTTGAACAGTTCTCGTTCTTGAATAGAAAAGGATTCTATCATAATAACATTTATTGATTAGCTATTTATTGATTAGCTATTTATTGATTTGCTATTTATTGATTAGCTATTTGTTGATTAGCGATTTATTGATTAGCTACTTGTTGATTAGTTATTTATTGATTAGCTGTTTATTGATTTGCTAATTATTAATAAGCTGTTTATTGATTAGCTGGTTATTGATTAGCTATTTAATAATTAGCTTTTTATTTGTATTCCCTGGCTATTCCTTTCCACTGTTATCAATTAATCCACGTCGCGTCTTCGTGTTGAATGTCGTTACTATCAATGATCCCTATCCCTTCACCCGCCTTCTCTGTCAGCTTTCAACCAATCATACCCCCACCCTCCCCCTCTTAGACAGATGATATAACCAAAGTGTAAAATTCTAAATTTGTCCTTATTAACATCCCTAAAAACCTTCATGTTATAATCATATTCGCCCTTTATTCATCTAGATATAAATTTCCAACTTGTGTAACTGTGTGTAAAGATTTGATTATCCAGAACATCACCATATCATAATTTCATAAAATAATGTATATTATTCTTTTCTCGGCAGTTTTCATTTTATAACAAAATGTTTAATTGGACTAGAAATGATATTGATTACCTTACAGCAAACTAATTAATACCGTGAACTGATACTGATTACCTTACAGCAGACTAATTAATACCGTGAAATGTTCCAGTGGTAATTGAGGACAGCTATCTTCAGATGCACTCATGTTAAATCTTTGAAAGTCTGGTTGGTCTAGAAATGATACTGACTATCCTACAGGATCCAAATCAGTACCGGGAACAACTTCATTCCCGAGATCACTCGGCAAACCTCGGCAGACCCCAGTACACTACATCTAGCCCCGACTGTATGATGAAGTCTGCCATTGGAACCACTTTCAAAGTTTCCGGTTTGCCGAGTGTCTCGAGATGTTCTTGTGGTAATGACAGACATCTGTCTTCAGATGCAATCTTTTTAGATCGTTTGATTATTGACCCGGCATCTACGGTATATTAGTATGTTCTATGTGTACATGTATTGGATAGTTGACTATGATATATTAATACATGCATAATAATATAATGTCCATATTGGTCCGACATCTCCGGTATATTAGTATGACATTTTAGTACATGTATTGGATAGTTGACTATTCTAACGTATATTAGTATGATATATTAGTACATGTATTGGATAGTTGACTATGATCTATAATATATTGTCCATATTGGTCCGACATCTCCGGTATATTAGTATGTTCTATTAATACATGTATTGGATAGTTGACTATGATATATTAATATATGTATAATAAACTGTCCATATTGGTGTTTGTATTGTGTGTATGATTGTTGTTTAAAAAGAAAGTAAAATAAAAAACACTGACATAAAGAGTTTGTTTAGTTTTATGTTAAAGTTTAAACAAACATCAACCTTTAAATATCTCCCCTGAAACCTTCAAATAATCATGTTTATTATCTGGTTTATAAAAGTCACAGGTCACCTGAAAAAACAAACACGGTTATATTTTACCCACGCTATACATTCATATTTTACACTCTGGCTGCAAGAGAGAGAGAGAGAGAGAGAGAGAGAGAGATGGGGGAGTAAAGTCCAATCGACACACACTATGTCATTTCGGGATTAACATATGGTTTAATTTTATTTCAATAATTCGCTTGCGCATAGGGGTCTTTAGCTGTGGGAACCTACGAAGTTGGACAGGCGACCCTTCTCCTTGTCACCGGGGAATCGAAACCACGCCAGTTGACTCAATGACATACCTTATGATACAACGCGCATGTGCTGACAATTCCTCCATCCAACATCCTAATCATCAGCAGCTTTACTGTATATTTGTAGCATCGCATCGCTCGGCGCATGCGATTTTAAGGAGGTCCATCAAAATCTACAGTCGTGCAATGTTATTGACTCCGTTTTGACAAGTCACTTTGGCATACTATATATATTTGACATCAAATGGTGTTTACCGGTCTACTGTTCGGCACAGCCTGGGCTAATGTAATCGGACATACAGTCACACAATGCGCTATGAGGGGCATTTTACCGGACATCAGCACTACGGCCTTTTCAAGGCAATATGCCTTCATAGTTACAAACACTATGAATTGTTTCATTTTATTTTTAAAGCAAAATTTTCACGCGGTGTTCAATAATTTGACACAGATTCCTAATCCTTGAAAATCAACTCAAACCACAAAATAAACTAATATAGTCGGGTCAACAGGATATTTTTAAAATTACTTTACACACATTGGTGACGTATTTGTATGTATCGTGTGACGTGTACATAAGTCCACGTGTTTTTACACGGGTATTGGTCATGTACCAGTGAACTGTGAGAGGTATCTTTGTTTAATAACGTCCATCTTAACAACATTGTTCTCATTGAGAGGTTTTTGTACCAGTGTAACAACTTTACCTTATGGTACCGTCGCTTCTATTCATCACGTGATCACCTAGTAACTATTTCACCGCCGTACGTTACATCTTATACATAATCTTTTCTTTCAACACGAGAGAGTTGATCAGGGGGGATAAGTCGTGACCTTAACAATTGTTCACCATTCTGACATGAAACTGTGGTTCTTCTGCTCTGCTCCGCCATGATAGCGCTATCGTCTATATAACGAGGACGCAAAAAATTATCCGGACTATTTGAAAGAGTTGAATTCGACATGATGCGGATAGAACGGCTTGGATATTATTTGCCTTTATTTATAGGTAAGACTAAAATATTTTTTACAGCGTTTAATTTCCGGAAACTTTTTACTTATCAATAGAAGAAAATGTTACAGTCTTTATTATTCCTAAATTTTGATTTCTCTAGACATTTCGATTCCTGGAAACATTTTTAATTTCACTGAATACAAATCGCTCTGAGTCCCAGGAATATATTGAAATTCACTGGGGTGGGGTGTCACGTCGACTCGACACAAACTAGGTCATTTCGGGATTATATTTTAATAATTCGCTTGCACGTAGGGGCCTTTAGCAGTGGGAGGAAACCGGAGGACCCGGAGAAAATCTACGAGGCTGGACAGGGGACCCTACTCCTTGGCACGTACAACCGGGGAATCGAAACCAAAACTAAACTAGCAGATCTTGCCATCTTGTCACTGCGTTGTCTAAAGATTTGCAGTTAAACATTAATTATAGTTTGTCAGTTTGATTGGCATGTTGGAGCTCGTCATCTTATTTTATGTCAGTATCATGTTTGTTTCTGTGGTAACACGTGTTGTGCACGAGACATTGTATACTTAATGGTTTCAGAACATCTGATACCATCTATTTAAGGAATGTTTAATGTATTATTGTCTTCCGTGTTGAATTATATACAGCAGAGTTAGAAGTAGTGTTGATTTTTTTTAAAAGTTGAAATGAGGACGTGATAGATTTGAGACAATGAAACTATTTTCAGCATCGACGTGAAATATTTAGAAGGGAGGAAAACAATTTTTTTTATATTTCTGTGATAACGATCATTTAAAACAAACAAAACTCAGTAAAAAAATCCGAAAAGAAATTGACACTGTCATTCTGATTTGTTTGTCAAAGTGATATGCTATATACTTTGTGAATTAGTCTCGACACATACACTAGAAAGATATTTGAATAATTTTCACGGTCTCAACTTTTTTCCGACAATTTTTTGCGAAGCTGCTGCAATTTAAAGATGGCTACAATGTGATATACGCCCAGTCAAAGTGGAATCGTGCTTTAATTTAAACACCGGGATTCTTTCTGAATCATCAATACGGATCCTAACAAAACGGCTCGGCAGTCCCTTGGGGTTTCTTTGTGTTTGTTTGGCCTGGTGGGGTCTGGGAGAGCGGGGGACTTGTGTATATTACCTTTATTTTGATCTACAGACCTCCTGAATTATTGATACGGTAGCTAGTAAAACGACAACCCTTTGAGGTTTCGTTGGGTGCGTGTTTGGGTGGGGATGGGGTGCTCTTTTTGAAACTTTATCTTGGGGTTTAACGTCCACTCGACACAAACTCGGTCACTTCGTGACTAACATATGGTTCAATTTTATTGAGAAATAGAAATTCGGGTTTTGTATTTAATTATTTGAAGTTATTTTGCTGTTGGAACACAACTTCATACGTGCCAGTTGTGAGACCCACGTACAACGATTTGTCTTTTTGGGCTTTAGGTTGCCCAACCGGGGACTCAATGACAGACCTTATGACACAACGCGCACGCGCTTACCACCAATTTACAAATATGCTATTCATTTCTTTCAAACTAAAACTCATGTCCCTGATAAATGTAGGCCTAATGTATGTATAAACGAAAATCAAAACACGAGGAAGCTAAACCTGATGGTTGTCGTGCTGTTATTTACTACTTGGTCGTGGAAATGAAATGGGGTTTAACGTCCTACTGTTCTGCTCCGAGCTGGGCTAATGAAGACGGGCATATGCCATACAGTGTGCTATGAGGGAAATTTTGCCCGTACAGCGGCACTACAGTCTACTCATGACCTCGCTTTTTCGTCATATCCGAACGACTAGACAGCTGTTAGGCCCTCCGTCCTGCACCACTGACAAAGCGAAGCCACGCCGGAAAGTCTCGATGAACTTTCTCGGCCAATGCAGGGATCGAACATCCTACCTCCAGGCTAGCAAACCAGCATCTTAACCACTTAACCACCGTGACCCCCTTGGACTTAGACATTACTAGCCTAAATAGGATACAAAGATTTAAACATGACGTAAAGAATCAGTAAATATTATAAACTTATATATTACTGTGATTTGGTTGTATGCTGAGAATTGTTTACAAAAACCTTTAATTTTTTAAATCATTGAATAGGCTAATTCTGTGAAAGTAAATATTTACGACAACCAATTTGGACTACGACACCTCTTATCATAGTCGGACGGAATACACTGTAAATTTCTGTATTTTGAAGTGACGGTTGTAAAATGATTTATTTTAGGGTAAAATCAATTGTAAAAAATGTTGGGTTTTTACGATTATTTGTACTATCACTCCTATTTTGTTGTAACAAAACATATACATGTAAAATAACATACAACTATGTAAATATTTTACCATAATCTTATGCTGTCATTGAGTCAACTGGTGTGGTTTCGAATCCCCGGTTGTACGTAACAACGAGTAGTGTCGCCTGTCCATCCTCGTGGGTTTTCTCCGGGTCATCCGGTTTCCTTCCGCTGCTAAAGACCCCTACGTGCAAGCGAATTGTTGAAATAAAAATTTAAACCATAAGTTAGTCCCGAAATGACATAGTTTGTGTCGCGTGAACATTACCCCCCCCCCCTCTCTCTCTCTCTCTCTCTCTCTCTCTTTCTCTCATATTCTTATGGTAAATTAACATTTATTCCTAACAGTGTATCTACGTGTAATGTAGTGTTGTTCTTATTCTTCTTAGTGTTTAACGTCCGCTTCCACCGATGGTGATATCGCAGACAAGTTGTCAAAATTTCATTTGTATTATATTATTGCACGCGCGGGGTCTTTTCTGTGAGTGAATACAGGAGTACCCGGAGTTAACCCACGAAGTTGAGAGGTCACCAAGCAACAAACTCTCTCACCGAGGTACGAAACTACGACCACGACCGCTAAAGCCAGTGGTGACCCCCCCCCCCCCCCCAATGTAATGTATTAACATGCTTGCCTTTTATACCATGTTGAAAATGTCGATGACAAGGACAGCTGTCTAGTCCTTCGGATGATACGAAAAACCGAGGTCCCGTGTATACATTGGAATGCACGTAAAAGATCCCTTGGCAGTTGGATTTCGATATAAGAGTAGGCGATAGTGCCGCTGCCCGGGCAAAATTTCCCTCATAGCACACTGGCGTATGCCCGTCTTCATTAGCCCAGTATAGGAGCAGAACAGTAGGACGTTAAACCCCATTTCATTTCATTTCATTTTGAAAATGTCGAACAATCGAAGTCCACTTTAAACATTACCACTGTTTGTTTATTTGTTGACCTGTTTTGTTTATCTCCGTGCTTGTGACAAATAACTGTGTGTCTCGTCCCCAGTACGAGGAGTTGTTGAGGACGTGGTGGGTCAGTATAGACACAGATTAAACGGTTAATCTGAGTGTTGAGGTGGTGTTAGGTGGTGTTATACTGTTGATACATGGCACCATCAAACAGTTCCCAACAAAATCTCCCCAATCAACAAATCATCAAAAGGATTCTTAATTATTACACATATTCTACACATGACTGCAAGTTTTACGGCGCATGTAGTAAAGATTAAAAAAATAAACAAATATTTTTAATTTTTCTTTTGGCTCTATATTAGGAGAGAGAGAGAGAAATGGGGTTTAGCTTCCACTCGACACAAACCAGATCATTCGGGACTAACACTCGACACAAACTAGGTCATTTGGGGACTAACATATATGGTTTAATTTTATTTCAATAATTCGCTTGCACGTAGGGGTCTTTAGCAGTGGAAGGAAACTGGAGGACCCGGAGAAAACCCACGAGGTTGTACAGGCGACCATTCTCCTTGTCACGTACAACCGGGGGATCGAAAACAAATATTTCTAGTTTCTTCTTGTGATAATTTTTATAACGACTATGATTCAAATATTTCAGTAATTCTTCTTATAAAATTTAAATTTATAAATATTAGTTTAAGCTTATTATTCTTAGGGGTTTTTTTATTTATTTTTATTATTTATTTTATTTATTTTTTCAACAGATATACTTCAAATGTTGCAGCAATTGGGCTTTTTTTTTTGGGGGGGGGGGGGGTATTGGTACTTTTGTTTATTATAAAAATATTATTTTCTCTGTTTCGGCTTATTCTTAATTCCGTACTATCTTTGTAACATATATGTTTCATATATTGATGAATTTGTTCTTTGTAACATATATGTTTCATGTATTCATGAATTTGTTCTTTATTGAAATAAAATTAAACCATATGTTAGTCCCGAAATGACATAGTTTGTGTCGAGTGGACGTTAAGCCTCATCTCCCCCTCTCTCTCTCCCTCTCTCTCTTTCTGTGTATCATTTGCGACATAAACACAAGAATATTCTCGTTGAAAGTAAACAATTTAGAAATATACAAGTCACCATTCTGTGGAAATCAATTACTGCTATGGAATACATTTACTGCTTAAAACTGAGCGACGTTCCGATGGCTTGATAATGACCAGAGAAGAGCCTAGTCGAAACGTCGCTCAGTAATAAGCAGTAATTGTATTCCATAAAATTGTCACCTGTTTACCCCAGTTCAATTACTAAATGCCATTGAAACAATTCAGAAATAGTTTATCCATAAACAATGCCTTGTGTTAATATAACTATTAAAGATACATTATGGAAGATTAGATAAAGAGCTGACAGTTCTCGCTATAATAGTTAAAAACTAGATAATGTAAAGGTAATTTGTTGAAAATTTCAGTCAAATTGGTCCACTATGAACCGAGATATCAGCTTTGTAAATTTCCGCCTAGCCTCGTTCATCATTACTAAAGTTAGTACGTTAAAAAGCATAGTCTCGATTATCCAATGTTTTGATTTAATTATCAATGAGCGTTTGCCGCATATAGGATTCTAATCCAGTCGTTATCGAATGCTAGCCTTGACATCGAGAGTTGATTATGGTCTGGATAAGTTAATTAATGTCTAATTAATAATTCAGATAAGATTTCGGGCCTAAAGAAAGACCTGCGATAGGCAGATTTAGCTCTTGCATAATGTATGTTTAAATGCCTGTAACGTGATTTAAATCTTTTTCAGCTTTATTTTATCATTTCAACTGACTGGAATATTACATCTATTCAGGTGTATCATATGTATTTAATGAAATAATACATCTATTTCAGGTATATCGCAGGTATTTGGCGGATCATGGCAGAGCAGCAGTCTCCAAAACCAGAACGCGGTACCTGCAGATTGTGTAACCGGAGCGTTCCGACGGGACCCTCAGGACTGCAGCGTGTTTTATCAATGCGCCAATTCTATTGAGTACCGATTTAATTGTCCTGGAAACCTACTGTTTGATATGACTCTAAGTGTCTGCAACTGGCCGAAAGATGTCAACTGTAATGGGGGAGGCGGTGGAGGAGGAGGGGGCGGCGGAGGCGGCGGCGGAGGTGGAGGAGGCGGAGGTGGAGGTGGCGGAGGCGCCTCGGATGTGAATGACTCATGGGAGGTGGATGAGTACGAGGACTTCTATAGTCAGAGTTACAGTAAAGGAGACAGTGGAAGTAGTGACAGTTCTTCAGATGATGATGATGGAAATTACGAGGGTGGATATAACAGTGGTTACGGTACTGGGTATAATACAGGTTTCGGCAAGGGTTATTATGCTGGTCTTAAATCTAAAGGATTAGGAGGAGGAGGAGGGGGAGGAGGAGGGGGCGGGGGTTATAACAGTGGTTATAGCAGTGGTAATAAGGGTGGTGGCTATGATAAAGGAGATGATGATGATGATTATGATGATTATAATGATTATGATAGCGGTGGTGACTCGGGTTACCATGGCGGAGGCTCTGATAGTTGGAGCAAGGGTGGTGATTCTGGTGGCAGCGATTATGGAGGTTATGATAGTGGAAATTCTGGAGGTTATGATAGTGGAAATTCTGGAGGTTATGATAGTGGAAATTCTGGAGGTTATGATAGTGGAAATTCTGGAGGTTACGACGGTGGAAATTCCGGGGGTTATGACAGCGGTAATTCTGGCGGATATGAATCGCACGGTCATAGTCATGGCTCTAATTACAACAGTGGTACGAACTCTGGGTACGGGACAGATATCTCTGGTGCTCACGCACATAACAATAAAGGTGATAGCGGCTATGGTGGAAATAAAGGAGGTTACGGTGGATACGGAGGGAGCTCAGGGGGATACGGGGGCAGTGGCGGCCATGGTTCAGGAGGATATGGAGGCAGTGGAGGCCATGGTTCAGGCGGATACGGAGGCAGTGGTGGGTATGGTTCAGGGGGATATGGAGGTGGCTATGGGATGAGCGGGTATGGAAGCGGTGGTTATGGTGGTGGCTTTGGACTCGGCGGGTATGGCGGTGGCTATGGGAAGGGTGGCTATGGGAAGGGTGGCTATGGGAAGGGAGGATATGGGAAGGGCGGGTACGGTAAAGGGTATGGAAAGGGTGTTTATGGATCAGGTGGTTTTGGAGCAGGCGGTTATGGCGGATATTATGGAACAATTCTCGGCGGCAGCGGTGGATACAGTCCTTTCGTTGGCGGTGGTTATGGACAGAGTCCGTTTATTAGCGGACCAATGAATGGAGTTTACGGACAAAATCCCTTCCTTAGTGCAAATTATGGACAGAGCCCGTTCTTGGGTAAAGGACAGAGTACCAGTTATTATCCACAAACACCTGTTTTCAACCAAGCGCAAACATTTAAACCATTGTTCAAGGGAAGTAAGGGTAATAAGGGTGTTTACGCGGGTGGCCTGCTCTCTAATTTGATGGGCGGACAAGGCATGATGGGTCAACAAGGCTATGGACATGGCATGATGGGTCAACAAGGCTATGGACATGGCATGATGGGCCAACAAGGCTATGGACACGGTGTCATGATGGGACAGCCTCAGATGATGGGACAAGGCATGACGGGACAAATGGGAGGTTCCATGATGGTGCCATATCCAATTGGTGGAATGATGCACTCTACGACGATGTCACCATCATCGGCCACGCCGTCATTAGCTGACTTACCTAACATCGTCATCATAGCATCCATGCTACCACCGTTTATTCCACCTATGGTTGACTCGCCATTTTTAGAAGAGGATCCATTCTGTACGGACGGCTGTCGATCTCTTCTCACTAGGAACAAAGACGCGAACTCAAACACCTCCAAAACAGCTCGTGACTTCTTTCTGATGAACTCGTTACTTGGTCACGGTATGAGTGGTCTTACTTCCGGTTTAGTTCCACCCTTCTCGAACGGTGCTACATCAGCATCCACTAGTCAAGGCAGTAAGTATAGTCTTCGTCATTTCAATTATAGTCTTCGTTATTCCAATTAGTTTAATTATAGTCTTCGTTATTCCAATTAGTTTAATTATAGTCTTCATCATTTCAATAAGTTTAATTATAGTCTTAAACATTTTAATTATAGTCTTCATCATTTCAATAAGTTTAATTATAGTCTTCATCATTCAAATTAGTTTAATTATAGTCTTAAACATTTTAATTATAGTCTTCCTCATTTCAATAATTTTAATTATAGTCTTCATCATTCCAATTAGTTTAATTATAGTCTTTATCATTTCAATAATTTTAAATATAGTCATCGTCATTTCAGTTATTTTAATTAAAGTCCTGATCATTTTAATTCCTTATCTTACACCGTAGCAAGACGCGTATACATTTGAAACTATTGTTAGAACAAATAAAATGTCTAGTTTATCTGAAAGATGAAAATTAGCAAATCTTGAGGTTAATCACAACACCTTAAAATACATCCTTTGATGTTTGATATTTTAAATAATGGTACGGGCAATGTGCAACGCGTACATTATTTATACTAGTTGAAATTTTGGACTTGCGTGACGTATTTCATTGCAAAGCACGTACGAGTGTCTGCATTTTAAGTGGTTAAATGGTCTCGAGCTTAAGACATTGCGTGGTTTGGATTGTTCGTACTTGGTTTTATTTTATTGTAAAAACACTTAGGTCGTGTTGTGGGGGGTTGGATGGCTGAATGGTTAGCGTGCGCGCGCTGTATCATAAAGTCTGTCATTGAGTTGACTGGCGTGGTTTCGAATCCCCGGTTGTACGTGGCAAGGAGTAGGGTCGCCTGTCCAACCTCGTGGGTTTTCTCCGGGCCCTCCGGTTTCCTCCCACTGCTATAGACCCCTAGCGCAAGCAAATTATGTAAATAAAATGAAACCATATGTTAGTCCCGAAATGACCTAGTTTGTGTCGAGTGGGCGTTAAACCCCATTTCTCTCTCTCTCTACCTCGTGTTGTTTCAATATATTACTTAATATCTCGCTCTCAACCATTAAACCACACATAATGAAAGATTGGATTGAGTGCTGTGCCCGTATACATATTTAGACATTAAGATTTACTTCCCTTTATACATTATTCTCATATTTGAAACAAAGCGAGAAACTATGTTCTGTTTTAAAATAGCGAGCTACGGTGTCAGGAATTGTTCACAGAATGGGGGGTCTGGAAAGAAAAGGCACCCATGAAAAATTAGCTGGCACGCCAAAAAAAAAATTACCCTTTGCCGTTGGAATTCGCAGCACACTGTCAGGTACATTGGGTGTGCTCGCATTCATTATCCCGGTTGGCTAGGAAAGGTAGGCCTTTAAACGCAGCTTCCCGTTAGTTTTTCCAGTGGACACCTTATCTGATACAAGTTATATTTATCCGATGCAAGTTATATTCAGCTACATTTGATTTTATTGACCGAAACCCCGGCCACTTCTTGTTCGAATATATATTTAACAGCCTTTGGCGTGGTTTTGGCATATCCACTTTATTTGGATAAATGATGATTTTATATGAGATGTGGGTTTTTTTTGTTTTCTAGCTTGTGCCGTTGTAAAAAGTTCTGGTACAGTTACCATCCCAGTTACAGCAGCTGCTACACAAAGTATTGATAACTCGAAATGTCGAGATATACAGATTTTATTAAATGGTTATTTAACCAAATTGTTAGAAACATTTGGAGGTAGTGATTCATCATCTGCTCTAGGTTGTACCATTGCTGTTCCCAATCTAGATATCGCCTGTTAATCAACTCAGGTAAAGATCTTCTTTTGTAAATATACCAACACTTGAGGTTTGAATGATTTGCTTGAACACAGTGAGAGAACCCTCAACGAAACGTCGATTTGATTAAATTAGTAATTGCTTTCCATATTATGTTTTTGTGTTTATTACGTGTGTCAATTGCTAAATGTCGCTCAAAGAAGAAAGAGTTCTGTAAACATGACGTCAAGTTGTAGTATGGGTCTAACCAATTTATAGAGAGAGGGAGAAATGGGGTTTAACGTCCACTCGACACAAACTAGGTCATTTCGGGACTAACATATGGTTTAACTTTATTTCAATAATTCGCTTGCGCATAGGGGTCTTTAGCAGTGGGAGGAAACCGGAGGACCCGGAGAAAACCCACGAGGTTGGACAGGCGACCCTACTCCTTGTCACGTACAACCGGGGAATCCTAACCAATTTATCATAATAACATCAATCGCAGAGTTAACTCGGTCAGTGTTTGTTCAGGGAATGTTTACTGAATATAATCGCGGGGGGGGGGGATACTTAACCCGAATATTTCGGGCATTATGAGTTTATCATGAACTTTAGATTTTATAAACATTTAGGACCAGTTTTTTTTCTGGGGCTTTACGTCTGCTTTCACCCAGGAAAAGCTATTCGTGAATGAGAGAGTGTGAGAGAAAGAGAGAGGGGGTGGGGGGTGGTAACGTCCACTCAACACAAACTAGGTCGTTTCGGGACCAACATATGGTTTAATTTTGTTTCAATAATTCGCCCTCCGCGAAGGGGTCTTTAGCAGTGGGAGGACCCGGAAAAAACCCACGAGGATGGACAGGCGACCCTACTCCTTATCACTTACTACCGGGGAATCGAAACCACGCCAGCTAACTCAATGACAGACCTTATCATACAACACGCACACGCCAACCATTCGGCCATTCCCCCACCCCACCCAAGTCGTGAATGGGAGTCTAGTCTAGTCTAAGCATAGGGTGAAAATGGAAGAGCGAGTAAGAAGTTTTAGTACCTCCATTTTCTGTGTTACAGGTCACACAATTGGACGCAATTAGCAAGGTGTGTTTTACTGTGGCATAAATTTGGTCTGTAGTCAGCGTGTTTAAGAATTTCAATAAATATTTATCGGACAATATTCTCCAATCCGGTGTCAGTCGTGAGACAATCCACTCCCTGTGAATGTACCTCGGCTAGTTTTATGACTTTTCTAAATAATAGAAGTTTTATGTCTCTAAACATGGCTAATGAGAAATAGAAATTCGTTTTTCTATTAAATTATTTGAAGTTATTTTGCTATTGGAACACTGCGGTCAACTTCATATGTGCCAGCATGTTTCTGAAGCAACGACTGGGAGTTTTACAATAACATCTGGACGTTGCTAGATTACTTCACAATTCCCGAACTTATAGCTAGGTTATCTACAGACACGTGAACCAATCAGAGGTTGTGACATCGCGACCTCCACGGAAACCTTGACATTGAACGAATCTTGAACTTTGCAGCTCCATTATCACAGGTAGACATTTTAGCTTGATAGTGCAAGATTTGGTATTTGCGATGACCGAGGAATCTGGTAGGCCCACAAGCTGAGCTTGTACCCGATCGAAATTAGTGCCGAAATATGCAGGGTATTACGTGAACGCCTTGATAAGATGTACGTAGTTAAAGCGAGATCAAGCCTTCTATTGAAAATGATGTACCAGTGGTGAGACCCACATACTGGTACCACGATTGTCATTTTGGGCTTTCAGGTTGCTTCACTTCTAGGGTAGATGGTCCTACTTTTCATTGATTTTCATTTTGTGATTCATCACCTTTGGGGCGATGTTACTAATGTCATTGGTTTTCATTCATTTTTAATTTTGAACGTATGGAGCGATGGTTCAATATTGTATAATAGTTATATGATACATTTTATAATATATATCCATACTTTTTTTTCTATTTCAGATCCGTAAACGCCTAACAAAAGTCTTTAATTATACAAATGGGTTCCTTTTAAACAGGGCAATATATCTGGAAAACTTTTCGGAAGAATCGAACCCAGAATCAAGACATAATCGAATGACCAAAGGGAAGTAATCGAAATATTCGGAATGACCAAAGGGAAGTAATCGAAATATTCGGAACAGTTCATTAATATGTTAATTACATCTGTTACATTAGAATATAAATGTCACTGTCGTAAAATGTATTAATAATTCGGCAGCATTTCACAAATTATATCTTAATTTATTACATTTTATAGCCCATTGATTGGTTACAATGTGTCACGTGTTTATGTTCAATTGTTGCTATGTGGTCACCTCTGTATATGTATATATATATTTATAGTAACTATGATTGTCACGTGATATTATCATAATAAGTATTGTAGAATGTGGTGTATATTTTGATCACCCTGAATAACCCCGTATACATGGGCCGCCATTTCTGTTCACATGGCCAAGAATTCCCGCCATTTTTTACCGCCATGATTCCTTAAAATAGATTCCTATTCCCCGCCCACTGTAGATAGTGGCGACTATGAAAATGATGTCAATCATCCTTATTTAAATGTGTAGATTAGTGGCAAAAAGCATCACAGGAAAATAATATCAATCAATTTAATTGAAACAGTGAGATTATCCCTGGATTGGGCTGCCTGGGACAAGTTTTTTAAATATCCGGGGTTGTTCAGGATGTGTGAAATAAATAGATATTATTTATTATATTTATTATATGAGTTGTATATAGATCTAAATGTTCATAATAAAAAATAAATAATCTGCACTAACTTTACTTTATTATTAATTACATTAAACATATATTATGCAAGAGCTAAATCTGCCTATTGCAGGTCTTTCTTTAGGCTTGAAATGTTCTCCAAATTATTAATCAGACATTAATAAACTTTTCCAGACCATAATCAACTATCGATGCCATAGCTAGCCTGCGATATTTACTGGATTACAACCCGATCTGCTGCTCAAAGCTCATCGATGATTACATCAAGAAATTGATAATCGAGACTACGTTTTTTATCTACCGACTTTAGTAATGATGATCAAAGCTACTCCTAAAATTCAATCGCTAAATTCAGTGTTCAGAGTGGATCAATTTTACTGAAATTTTCAGCGAATTCCCTTTACATCATCTAGTTTTTAACTAGCACTGCCAGCTCTCTATGTGATCTCCCATAATGTATCTTTCAGTATTTCATTACCTTGTCTCTCCGTTAAAGGGGCCACGGTGGCTAAGTGGGTAAGACGCTGGTTCGCTAGACTGGAGGTCGCGTTTTCGATTCCTGTATTGGCGGAGAAAGTTCATCGGGATTTTTTGACGTGGTTTCCCCTTGTCAGTGGTGCAGGATGGAAGGCCTGAACGGGACAGCTGTCTAGTCGTTGGGATAGGACGAAAACTCGAGGTCCCGTGTATACTTTGGAGTGCACGTAAAAAGGTCCCATGGCAGTTGGAATTCTACATAAAAGTAGGCCATAGTGCCGCTGCCCGGGCAAAATTTCCCTCATAACATACTGTATGACGTATGCCCGTCTTGTTCTTACCCCTGTCGCAGCAGAACATTTCATTTTTTCTCTCAGTTGTTCCGTGTCCCAAGCAGTTTCGGAGTGGCCCATCTTCCTTCATTACCCCGGTTGGTGAAGAACGGTAGGACGTTAAACCTCATGTCAGTCATACAGTTTCTTCGTTGAATCAGCCTGGATAACTATGCTCCGTCACATGACAACATGGCTCCAAACACAGATAACAATCCACACGATAGAGAACAAGTCACATGACCATATGACTCTAAGCATAGAGAACCAGTCACATCACTGTAACCTAGATAAATAGTCACATGACAACACAACTCTAACCTAGAGAACTAGTCACATGACAACACCACTCTAGCCTAGAGAACTAGTCACATGACAACACCGCTCTAACCTACAGAACTAGTCACATGACAACACCACTCTAACCTAGAGAACTAGTCACATGACAACACCACTCTAACCTAGAGAACTAGTCACATGACAACATAACTCTAAGCTAGAGAACTAGTCACATGACAACATGTCTGTAAGTGGTCAGCTATTTGAAATAGATATGGATATCCCACTCGTCTGGTGCGAAGATGTATAGAAAACATATTCTGCCTTACTTCACGACACCCTTCACTTCATCATAGGTAGGTTCTGGGCGATGGATTTCTAAATTCCAGTTCAAACCGATCTGGAACACTCGAATCTTAATTTTGTGTCAATGAAACGTGTTACATGTGGTTGTTATAAAATCTGATTAAAATACAGATCTATATTTCGTTTCGTTTTTTTTATACTTTCGATGGCCTACACTACATGAAGATCTGACCGGTTGTAGCGATAGGTTGCGTCAGAGGTCATACGAGTAGCTTTTGACCTATGACGTCAGACATTTGATTAACCAATCAGCATTGATGTTACTAGTGGATTACCCACAGTTCCGTGCAAAACACACCTAAAGCTCACCGTAACAGACCGTTTTATTAGCTAATAGCTCACCATTCTTAACATCTGAGACACGCTACCTGCGGAGAAGTATCTCAGACACAGTCAGTAGCCATGATATCCATATCACGTGATCGACACATCACAGGTCATGACATTGGCGTCAATGGGTCATGAGGTCAACATTGTGAACAATAAGTTTATCTTCAGCATTGTGTCCGTTGCACCCATAAAGACTATATAATTCGTACAGTCCCAACATGTTCTCTCTTCTTCCAATGATTTTTTACAAAAATAACATCTACAACTCACAGAATTGACGTTGTCTTCAATGACAGCGTCTGCGAGGGTTGTTCATAGAGGCCGCCATATTGCACTATTTGGTGCGTCGGTCGGGTCTATTTCAGATATACACAATCAATTCTGTTGATGTTTTTAGTGTTGGGATTGACTAATAGTTAATGTGTTTCAGTTCTAAAACAAATATTTTAAACTTTAACGCAAATTTAGAAAATAGCCAAATTCTGGCTGGGATTACTGAGCAAAATGGCCATTCACTGTATACGTGCGAAAAAAAAGCTAGCCACCAATTAATTTCCGTACGTTAATTACGTACGATAGCTCACATCATTCAGAACTCTTCCAGATCCTAGTGTAGTAAAGACAAGTAAAACGAAATTTTGAACTATAAAAACGAAACGAAATTGGATCTGTGTTTTAATCAGATTAGTTGTAAAAAAAATATTATTTTAAAATTTTTGATCAAAAGGAACGAAATTCTTGTCTTCCATTTTTTTGTGAATGAACCACATTCAAATTAATATGATAAATATTTGCCGTATCTAGGTGACCTCGACTCGTAGTAGTACTTTATGTCAAAACCATCCCTCTATTAATATTTTAGATGAGACTATCTTTTGTCATTTATAAAATATTTACTCCACAGCTGTATGCAAAGTTATCGGGTAAAATTGTGTATTTTTGAAGCGATTTGTACGACAGCTGGTAAGCAGCCATTGTTTAACTGACCACAGGAATTATGGGATAGGGATGTAATGGGTTCACCTTATGATGTCATACTGATGAATTGATAAAGATAATGCTTAGAGAAAAGAAGACGTTTTAACTTGTAAACAGCAGATGCGTCTCAATGTGGACGAAATAACCTTTATATATATATATGATTTTAAAAGTGCAAGATATTAATCATTGAAATGAGATGTGTTTTTAATGACCTGCTTATCTGTACTAAACCGGCAGACGCCATGTTTTTGGGAGGTTTTTTTAACAATATTTTTATTAGGGTTGTCTGAATTGGATTGGGGAACAGACTTAGCCTATGTAAAACCACTCTCCCTAAATAATTTATATGTTGTGTGCTGTGAAGGATATTTCCGCCTAATGTTTTTTTATCAAATTTCCAAGGGTTCTGGATGTGACCCGAGTGCACGGGTGGACATGGTTTTCATCTCTACCGAACGACTGGTCGTCCCTTCCTTGCCAGGCGCATTGTCCTGCATCACTAACAATACAGTACCGTTGTTGGTTTATATGGTTTACAGAGGTTCTCTTTTCTCTTGATTGTATCTTCTCCCAGCTTATAATTTTGAATGTTTGTCGACACAGGATTGCCAAAGGGAACATAACTCTACTTGTACTCAATCTGTGCCACCGCCATCTGGCCACAGATCACTAAATATTTTCCCATTGACTTTAATGTTAATTCTCGTATCTTAGACCGGCTCTAACTTTTTCCAAAATTTTCGTTGGGTGGAACGCTTTCTGCCACAGATGGAGCAACATGTGGCAAACTCTTGCCCAAAAGCATGTATGAGGTTCACCTTGAAAAACTTGAGATACACAAGCTGGAAATAGAGACAAGTAAACATGCAATTTTCGGCCCTACATTTCAACCTAACCAACCTCTCAACTCTTGTATCCTTCCGCCTCAAAATCATGAATATTCACCAAACCCTGGCAGAAAATGTATTTTCAAACAATTTTCTTTGATTCTACACCAAAAAGTCAACAAACATCGCCATTCAAAAAGGGTGAAAAAGGGAAAGGGAGAGAAAGACTAAAAAAAACTTTCGCCCTACATTCGTGGGTGACGGCGTAGAAATATTTCGTGATCTGTGTCCTATATAGGGGTGAAACTTCAGGTATCACCAAAAGGCCTTTTTTATATGCTTCCTATATGTTCTGGCAACAAACCGGTGAAAGAAAATTAAAATCAATAAATAACTGCAAAAATGATGGCCCTTTAAGTATTCATGCTGCTTTATGTACAACGGTGCATCTCAGGTCCATGGGCCTTTTGTGCTAAATTTTAAAAATCGTTCTTATTAAAGGCAGTATTTGAGTTCTGTGAAAAAATTAGACAAGTTGCAAATAAATTACACAAAAAACACTCATAATCTGGATTTTTTTTTTTTTTTAAATATAATTTTTTACAGCCATGTCATGAAAAATGTACAAAATTTACATGTAGCATCTTTAAAAAAACACAATAATTTTCCACTTTTTGAGATAGCCCGACTGGCAAGGAATATGTTTTTAGAAACTCCTGACAATATGCAAACAGAAAAATCACAAATCAGTTGCATTGATTGTAATATTAGAGAACTGGGTAAAATTGAGCCAACCCCTGTTTTGAACATTTTGTACAAACCCATCTGCTGTACATTATCAACTCAGTATGTAGGAAAGCTGGAGTTATTTCTAAACCTGACAAACTTATAGATCCCATCTAAGTCGTATTAGCAATGAAAATAAGGGCATTTTAGACATTTTAACCCATTTGAGTAGTCATGAGAGGATTAATTTCTACATCGAAATGGGAGAATCTGGAGATATTCTGTGAATATTCCTGATTTTTAGACAAAAATTTGGTAAAATTACAATACTGTTGACTTTATCTGTGCTTTCTGGGGCTTAATAAGCCAAAATTGGGCATTAAAATATGTTACTTACTGTTAAAAATTAAATAAAAACTGAAAATTGAGAAATTTGCAGTAAAATCACAATTTTTCTCCAAACTTTAAATATTTCTTTTAAAAAATTAACTTTCTTTAGATTTTCTGTTGTCAAAATATTTTATTCATATTTTCTGAGAATTTAATCTTCATATTTTCAAAACTAAGGCATATCAGTCAGAGCCTTATCATACACAGACAGGCCACAGATAACTAAATATTTCCCCATTGACTTTAATGATAATCTCGTATCTTAGACCGGCTCTAACTTTTCCCAAAATTTTCGTTGGGTAGAACGCTTTGTGCCACAGATGGAGGAACATGTGGC